ATAGATAGATAGATAGATAGATAGATAGATAGATAGATAGATAGGCAAGAATACAGAAGCTCAAGGTGAGCCTCATGTGTCGGGTCTAGCACATGGGCGTACTGTCTTTGCGATAGCTGATTGCTACACGAGAGTACAGAAGTCAATGGATAAAGAAGTCAGAATTGATTTTGAACGAGTTGAAGGTTGGCTACATTGATGTCGGGTTACCCCTTCACTAGTCTACGGATCCACGCCTACGGCTTGAACTGTTTGAACAGATACAGTCGATTCGTGGGACAGGTTCAGGATAAGCTTGTCTCTCGTCATCAACTCCGTTCAATGTGATCGCGGTCGCCGAGACTTTGATCGCATGAAAAGCTTGGCAGATAGGTCTGAGCCGAAGGGCTAGTAGTCACTGTGGTGGTCGAAGTAGTCCTAGTGGTCGAAGTGGTGGTGGTGGTGGTCATGTCCATCATCTTCGACATACACCCGACTGTCCGTATCCGTGAGGATATTAGAAAGCACGTCAAGTCCATCAAGAAGTTCGTTCGGACGGATATCCGTTGCTTGTACACAGATCGTCGTAGCTGTGACCGCAGCGAGTAGGAGGCAAATGGAGAGTTTCATCTTAGAGTGAAGGTGGTGAGGGATGCTGGGAAGTCTTGGCAAGTTGCAGAATGATAAAAAGCAAGCAGACGTGCAAGCTGGAACGGGCCTCGAGTCAATCGTATCGAATCAAAAGCAGGTTTACCGTTTTCTGTGAGATGAACTTCTGTTGCACCCGGTGTCGGTTGTGAAAGAAACGTACGCCTGTTGACATCAAATGAATGAGCCTTCGAAACGACCGGACAGACGAATGCGACTGTTGCTGGCTGAGATTTCGGTGCGAGATGCGACGTTTCATCATCGACATTGGAAACCAGGTCACGTTGGATCAAGAACAGTACAAACATCGTGCTCTTTACCGACAAACAGCTACGGCGATATCGTCTGGCGTCGTTTGTCAATTCTATTGAGGATAGGTCCAACCTGGCGAAGGCAACTCGCCTGCGAGGGTTCCCAACTAGCTAGCTACCTTGCTAAGGGGATTGTAGCAGCGCGTCCAACCACTGTGCAGCCCGTGGAAGCGATCCAGCACAACATGTAAATGGCTGACGTTCATTGTTTTCTGATGCGGTGCAGCTTGGTATTGACGCCGGTTTCGCAACTCTCTTCAATTGATGTATGCGCAGAAAGCTGTAAGCAAGCATACACCAATGCACCGCAATCACTGCAGAAGTGGATACCAGTTCTGCTTGATTGGCCAGCAGCGCGTTCTTCTTTCAGAACACCGTCTCCAGCAGGTCCAGCACCGGGTGTTTACAGGGAGGTTTGTGCCATTCGACGTTGTGCTGTGGACTTCCATGTGTCCTCCGATACCTGGCCCTCTCACGACGAACATATGGTGGATTGTGAGCTTGACTGTTCTTCAAAGTACATCCGACAGTATAGTGGTGTGCAGCACTCCTCCTGTACCAACCAAACCACCCAAAAACCCTCTTGCTCCCACGTCGTGGTGTTGTGCTGATCCACAGAACCGTGGCGATGATGAGATAGTGTCACCGCTCTGGAATGCATGACTTGATACAGTACCAAAAATCGACTCACCATAAAACACTTCCACAACAGCAAGTACCCGATCGAACCATGAAGCAGATAAGACACGTTACTCGATGACAAGTGTTCCGAACAACTTGTTGTAAGTGTGCGATGTCAGTCATCTTGTGGACAGACCCTATGATGAAGCATAGCCAAGTAAGCATCCAGACGGCTTGTCTATCAGTTGCAGGCTGACACTCGGATCAGCCACCATCTCACCAGATCTTTCGGTGCTTTATTTGTCGTCTGGTCTGCATTGTCTTGCAAGTATGGCCAGCGGCTCATTTGCTCCTTGGTAGTCTCTCTGGCACGCAAGCATGTTGCAGACGCATGGCTGCAAAAAGAATGCGCCAAACGAATGAGCGCCTCCCGAGGCGTCCGACTTTAGAATGATGCATGTTCATCTGCTCGCAATACTCGCTGATACAGCTGAGTGCAAGGTTGGTATCGTAGCTGTTCGGTCACAACAAACACGTCATTTTCGTACCAGCAATTTTGTCCTCCAGCGAATTGCTTTTCAAGATCACGAATTGCACGTAGTTTCCGCATGCCTCTGAATCGTGACGAAGAAGCCAGTGTGTGGACTCCTCGTTTCATGCAGTAGGCACTCATGTAAATGTCTTGTTACTGCACTGCAAGCAGAATAGAAAGGAACTCTCGTCCCACCGAAAGCGGCGACATTGTCGATAATGGACGCAAAGACCAGGTTGTCAGTGACAGTACGAGGGAGCGCAATGATGCCGAGTAGTGACTGCACTCGCCAACGCATGAAGTAGTGCGCGCGAACTTCGTGGGAACCGCACCAACCTTGTTGTGCGGATAACATGACCCATTCGTATCGTCTTCGAGCAGCGTGGTACCAGTTTCGATGATGCAGACACGAGATATACGGACACGCGTGAGAGTCTCGTCATACAACGTGCTGCCGTAGTCGACAACCATGCTCACAACCATGCAGGCTTGTCGGATGAACGTCGTGATCCGTATCGTAACTGCTGATCCGTCGGTCTTCAAGCCTACATTCGAATGAAATCCCGCAATGCTTGGCGCATCACATTCTGTACAGGACTCATGTTGATGCTGGCTCGTTCACCGATATTGTCGTCGGAACTCTGATTTATTTCTCAAACACACGAAGGGAAGACTATCCAGATAGATAGATAGATAGATAGATAGGCAAGAATACAGAAGCTCAAGTTGAGCCTCATGTGTCGGGTCTAGCACATGGGCGTACTGTCTTTTGCGATAGATGATTGCTACACGAGAGTACAGAAGTCAATGGATAAAGAAGTCAGAATTGATTTTGAACGAGTTGAAGGTTGGCTACATTGATGTCGGGTTACCCCTTCACTAGTCTACGAATCCACGCCTACGGCTTGAACTGTTTGAACAGATACAGTCGATTCGTGGGACAGGTTCAGGATAAGCTTGTCTCTCGTCATCAACTCCGTTCAATGTGATCGCGGTCGCCGAGACTTTGATCGCATGAAAAGCTTGGCAGATAGGTCTGAGCCGAAGGGCTAGTAGTCACTGTGGTGGTCGAAGTAGTCCTAGTGGTCGAAGTGGTGGTGGTGGTGGTCATGTCCACCATCTTCGACATACACCCGACTGTCCTTATCCGTGAGGATATTAGAAAGCACGTCAAGTCCATCAAGAAGTTCGTTCTGACGGGTATCCGTTGCTTGTACACAGATCGTCGTAGCTGTGACCGCAGCGAGTAGGAGGCAAATGGAGAGTTTCATCTTAGAGTGAAGGTGGTGAGGGATGCTGGGAAGTCTTGGCAAGTTGCAGAATGATAAAAAGCAAGCAGACGTGCAAGCCGGACCGGGCCTCGAGTCAATCGTATCGAATCAAAAGCAGGTTTACCGTTTTCCGGGAGATGAACTTCTGTTGCACTCGGTTTTGGTAGTGAAAGAAACGCACGCCTGTTGACATCAAATGAATGAGCCTTCGAAACGACCGGACAGACGAGTGCGACTGTTGCTGGCTGAGATTTCGGTGCGAGATGCGACGTTTCACCATCGACATTGGAAACCAGGTCACGTTGGATCAAGAACAGTACAAACATCGTGCTCTTTACCGACAAACAGTGACGGCGATATCGTCTGGCGTCGTTTGTCAATTCTATTGAGGATAGGTCCAACCTGGCGAAGGCAACTCGCCTGCGAGGGTTCCCAACTAGCTAGCTACCTAGCTAAGGGGATTGTAGCAGCGCGTCCAACCAGTGTGCAGCCCGTGGAAGAGATCCAGTACAACATGTGAATGGCTGACGTTAATTTTTTCTGATGCGGTGCGGCTTGGCATTGACGCCGGTTTTGCAACTCTCTTCGATTGATGTGTGCGTGGAAAGCTGTAAACAAGCATACGTCAATGCAACGCAATCACTGCCGAAGTGGATACTAGCTCTGCCTGATTGGCCAGCAGCGCGTTCTTTGTTTCAGGACACCGTGTCCAGCAGATCTAGCATCGTGTGTTTACAGGTCGGTTTTGTGCCGTTCGACATTGTGCTATGGACTTCCGTGTATCCTCCGATACCGGCCACCCTCACGACGAGCATATGTACTGTGAGCTTGACTGTTCTTCGAAGCGCCTCCGACAGTAGAGGAAAGTGGTTTACAACACTCCTCCTGTACCAACCAAACCACTCAAAAACCATCTTGCTCCCACGTCGTGGTGTTGTGCTGATCCACAGAACCGTGGCGATGATGAGATAGTGTCACCGCTCTGGAATGCATGACTTGATACAGTACCAAAAATCGACTCACCATAAAACACTTCCACAACAGCAAGTACCCGATCGAACCATGAAGCAGATAAGACACGTTACTCGATGACAAGTGTTCCGAACAACTTGTTGTAAGTGTGCGATGTCAGTCATCTTGTGGACAGACCCTATGATGAAGCATAGCCAAGTAAGCATCCAGACGGCTTGTCTATCAGTTGCAGGCTGACACTCGGATCAGCCACCATCTCACCAGATCTTTCGGTGCTTTATTTGTCGTCTGGTCTGCATTGTCTTGCAAGTATGGCCAGCGGCTCATTTGCTCCTTGGTAGTCTCTCTGGCACGCAAGCATGTTGCAGACGCATGGCTGCAAAAAGAATGCGCCAAACGAATGAGCGCCTCCCGAGGCGTCCGACTTTAGAATGATGCATGTTCATCTGCTCGCAATACTCGCTGATACAGCTGAGTGCAAGGTTGGTATCGTAGCTGTTCGGTCACAACAAACACGTCATTTTCGTACCAGCAATTTTGTCCTCCAGCGAATTGCTTTTCAAGATCACGAATTGCACGTAGTTTCCGCATGCCTCTGAATCGTGACGAAGAAGCCAGTGTGTGGACTCCTCGTTTCATGCAGTAGGCACTCATGTAAATGTCTTGTTACTGCACTGCAAGCAGAATAGAAAGGAACTCTCGTCCCACCGAAAGCGGCGACATTGTCGATAATGGACGCAAGGACCAGGTTGTCAGTGACAGTACGAGGGAGCGCAATGATGCCGAGTAGTGACTGCACTCGCCAACGCATGAAGTAGCGCGCACGAACATCGTGGGAACCGCACCAACCTTGTTGTGGGGATAACATGACCCATTCGTATCGTCTTCGAGCAGCGTGGTACCAGTTTCGATGATGCAGACACGAGATAGTAGCTGACACTCGTTGCCTGTCAAGAACGAAATAAAGCGAAACAAGCTATGTACTTCGTCTCTGTCATGCGACGCATAAACCGTGGTTTGGACACGCGTGAGAGTCTCGTCATACAACGTGCTGCCGTAGACGACAACCATGCTCACAACCATGCAGGCTTGTCGGATGACTGGCGTGATCCGTATCGTAACTGCTGATCCGTCGGCCTTCAAGCCTACATTCGAATGAAATCCCGCAATGCTTGGCGCATCATATCCAGTACAGGACTCACGTTGATGCCGGCTCGCTCACCGATATTGTCGTCGGAACTCTGATTTATTTCTCAAACACACGAAGGGAAGACTATCCAGATAGATAGATAGATAGATAGATAGATAGATAGATAGATAGATAGATAGATAGATAGATAGATAGATAGATAGATAGATAGATAGATAGATAGATAGATAGATAGATAGATAGATAGATAGATAGATAGATAGATAGATAGATAGATAGATAGATAGATAGATAGATAGATAGATAGATAGATAGATAGATAGATAGATAGATAGATAGATAGGCAAGAATACAGAAGCTCAAGTTGAGCCTCATGTGTCGGGTCTAGCACATGGGCGTACTGTCTTTTGCGATAGCTGATTGCTACACGAGAGTACAGAAGTCAATGGATAAAGAAGTCAGAATTGATTTTGAACGAGTTGAAGGTTGGCTACATTGATGTCGGGTTACCCCTTCACTAGTCTACGGATCCACGCCTACGGCTTGAACTGTTTGAACAGATACAGTCGATTCGTGGGACAGGTTCAGGATAAGCTTGTCTCTCGTCATCAACTCCGTTCAATGTGATCGCGGTCGCCGAGACTTTGATCGCATGAAAAGCTTGGCAGATAGGTCTGAGCCGAAGGGCTAGTAGTCACTGTGGTGGTCGAAGTAGTCCTAGTGGTCGAAGTGGTGGTGGTGGTGGTCATGTCCATCATCTTCGACATACACCCGACTGTCCGTATCCGTGAGGATATTAGAAAGCACGTCAAGTCCATCAAGAAGTTCGTTCGGACGGATATCCGTTGCTTGTACACAGATCGTCGTAGCTGTGACCGCAGCGAGTAGGAGGCAAATGGAGAGTTTCATCTTAGAGTGAAGGTGGTGAGGGATGCTGGGAAGTCTTGGCAAGTTGCAGAATGATAAAAAGCAAGCAGACGTGCAAGCTGGAACGGGCCTCGAGTCAATCGTATCGAATCAAAAGCAGGTTTACCGTTTTCTGTGAGATGAACTTCTGTTGCACCCGGTGTCGGTTGTGAAAGAAACGTACGCCTGTTGACATCAAATGAATGAGCCTTCGAAACGACCGGACAGACGAATGCGACTGTTGCTGGCTGAGATTTCGGTGCGAGATGCGACGTTTCATCATCGACATTGGAAACCAGGTCACGTTGGATCAAGAACAGTACGAACATCGTGCTCTGCACCGGCAAACAGCTACGGCGATATCGTCTGGCGTCGTTTGTCAATTCTATTGAGGATAGGTCCAACCTGGCGAAGGCAACTCGCCTGCGAGGGTTCCCAACTAGCTAGCTACCTTGCTAAGGGGATTGTAGCAGCGCGTCCAACCACTGTGCAGCCCGTGGAAGCGATCCAGCACAACATGTAAATGGCTGACGTTCATTGTTTTCTGATGCGGTGCAGCTTGGTATTGACGCCGGTTTCGCAACTCTCTTCAATTGATGTATGCGCAGAAAGCTGTAAGCAAGCATACACCAATGCACCGCAATCACTGCAGAAGTGGATACCAGTTCTGCTTGATTGGCCAGCAGCGCGTTCTTCTTTCAGAACACCGTCTCCAGCAGGTCCAGCACCGGGTGTTTACAGGGAGGTTTGTGCCATTCGACGTTGTGCTGTGGACTTCCATGTGTCCTCCGATACCTGGCCCTCTCACGACGAACATATGGTGGATTGTGAGCTTGACTGTTCTTCAAAGTACATCCGACAGTATAGTGGTGTGCAGCACTCCTCCTGTACCAACCAAACCACCCAAAAACCCTCTTGCTCCCACGTCGTGGTGTTGTGCTGATAATGGATTTTGGGTCGATGTTTTAATGACGTTTCCCTTTTGTGAAATTCGTAGTACTATATTTGATGCTTTGGACTCCTGTTTCTATACCAATATTAAAAGAATGAAACGTGCAATGATGCAGCAAGTGTAGTCTATCGAATTTTCTGTCGTTTTTGTAGAGATGTAGTGTTTATGTAATTTCGTTTCGATGTAGTGGTCTGGTATTGCATTTATGTTTATCGTGTTGATGTCATTTAGTATGCATCAATTCGATGGTTCTATCCTAACACGCTTGTACTGAAACTGTAACGGGGCACCCTTTGTTTGGGTGCCACGGAACTTCACGTACACTCGTACGTGCAAAGGAATCTAATCTACTTAAACGACTCGGTCAAGTAAAGGTAAAACGATAACTGTATTTAATGTAGTTGAGCTATCAGTATAACTTTAATCTTTTTCTAACTATATAAAACTACGTCTATAACGGGGCACCCTGAAGCTTGTACTGGTGACAGTACAAGCTACTTATTCTGATGATAGAATAAGGCGGTGCCTCGGAACTTCACGTACACTCGTACGTGCAGAGGAAGACGGTAAGAAGAAGCGAGTACTTGGTTAAAGTAAAAAGTAGAACTGTATTTATAATAGTTAATGTCTGTAATAAACCCCCTGTTTATCCTCATCTAACTATGTCTAAATACAAATGTGTAAATCAACTATCTGCTCACCACTCATTGCGTGCGTCTGTCGTGGCGCGTCTTCGTCGGTTGATATAATGGCCTATATCAACCAATTAGGAACTACTCGTAAGTGCTGCAGAATATTTGTCCTTATGACAATATTCTGAGAATATAACTCTTATAGTTACATTCTATTAACAATTTCTTATAAATTGTTATGTAACGATCACCCCATTACATCACCCCCCCTTAACCATCAGTCACTTTAGTGACTGATTGACTAAACGGATACTCGTCCCAAATCATTTGGGACAGAGTTTGCACTTGTTGGTCCGAGTCCACTTTCCAACAGTTCGTCGCATGGTTAGCAAGCCCATGCGATGCGCGAGCAAGGCCGCTGAGAGCGCGTCCGCACGTCTCTGTGCGGACGCCGAAGCAGAAACCACAGCAACTGATGTCTCATCGGTTGCTGAAGCGACTCAGCCTGTGTCACCTGGTGATGCAGGCGCTTGTCATGAAGACACTCATGTCTTCACAGAGTATGAGCTTGGTGTCTCATACTCTCCTGATACGTAAGACGGATCCGTATCGAAGGCGGTTGAAACCAAGCCGCCTGCCAAGCGTGGCATGGATGATGCTTTGCGTCGTAGCATCTTTGGTTCATCTGATGAATCAGATGAACCATCGCCGAAGCGAAGGCGCTCGAGGTCGCAAGACTCGGGCGCTAACAGTGGTGTCGGTTCTCCTATTGAACCCACTTCGCAACGAGGTGCCAGTACTTCTGTCGGCACGTCGCAGGAAGAGCGGGACCGCAATTTCTTGCGTCTCGCTCCTGAAAAGAAAGCATGGATGCCTTCAAAGTCGGTCATGGATTGCTTGTCGGCGACGACGAGTGATCGCTATCGAACACGATTGTTCGATTCATCAAGGATCCATCACCTTGACCCCAATGCGAAAGACTATCACACTGAGAATGATTTCTTCATCGATGCTTTCTTTAGACATCGATGGTACAGTGGGAATCACAAGCGTGATGGTCCCTCACTGCTTCAGGCGTGGAACGCCTACATCCATAACCTTGAGGATGTAGGTCGTGATGTTTGGAACGACAAACTTATCAAAGCTCGTGATAAGTTTGAAAAGCGAACCCCGACAGGTGCACGCTATAAGCTGCCTCGTCTGTCAAGGGAGAAAGAATTACCCTGCCTCTCTTGGGGAGACTCGTGCCCATGTTGTGTGAACAACTCTGCACGAGCACCTAAGGAGGCTTACCTCCCTAATAGCCCGTGGTGGCGCGTACGTATCTCTAGTGAGATGTACGACGGGATTGACAACCTGAAATCCCTTTACGACCGTGCCGGGAAGACTTTCTCCGGCGGTCCTTCTGCGGCACAGGATGTGCCGCGTCGTACTGCTCAACCAGACCCAGTACGTCGATCATCAGTTGGGAGCGGGGCTCCCAAGAATCCCAGGACGGGGGATAGCCGCGCCACCGGACGAGATAACTCGTCCGACGTCCGTTCACGTCGCGGTGGTTCAACAGCTGCTCAACTAGACAGCGCTGGCCACCGCGAGAGTCCTCTAATGGAGGTGGAGGAGGAGTAAAGACGCTCTCCACACGATCATGGGGATCCGTGTGTTCCCGAGAGCTTCTTTGATCGCGTAACGCAAGGGTTCCGCAACGATCTCGAACATGAGCGGGACAGACGTCTCCAAATGGCGGACACTGTCTCGAAGCATCGAGCTGAGTTTGCCTTTGATCAGCTTGACAACGAGAGAGCTCTGACATCTCTTCGTGACGAGCTAAGGGTAACTCGTGGGATTGTTGATCGGTCTCGGGATGAGATAACTGCTCTTCAGACCCTTGTCGATGCCCACCATCGGGAGCACAAGGCTCTTTGCGAGATGCTTGAGCGCAAGGGCGTTCTTCATCGGAAGAAGCAGCGTACTGATGGTACGGCTTAAGCCGACCAACGTAAAACGTGAGATGCGTTCGAATCTTACGTGGCAACTCGATCGTGTATGCATTGCCTAGGCGGTGCAATACACGAAATGGGCCGATGTACTTGGGTAGTAGTTTACTGCTACCCAAGTTAGTCACTACATGCTTTGGTAGATTAACCGTAGACAGTAGGACTAAGTCACCTTTATTAAATCAAAGAGTGTTTGCCCTTCCATTCTTGTCAGCGTTTTGCTTTTGCTTATCCACCGCTTCGGCGATGGGGTCTTGCACAAAACGGACTACCGTTTCACGAGCCAGTATGAACTCATCTTATGTCTCGTTAGCTTCAGTGCGCTGTGAGCGCACTGCAGCAACATCAACCTTTTCTTCAGTGAGGGCTTCCGCACTCTCACTGGCATCATCTTCTTCGATATCGATGTTATCGATATCGGCATCAAACGCAATGACCTCTTCGTCAGAACGTGATGAGCGTGAACCAAATCGGTTTTTGCTTGCGTGAGTCCCTCCCCCCCTTAAACCAGAGTTACACTATAGTAAGGTGGGTACACGCGGATGGCGTAAGCCATTCACGTAAAACGGTATATGTGTCGTGGACGCATGCACCGAGTTGTTAATGGCAAAATCTACCATGGGCAAGAACTCACTCCAACTCTTAAAGGAGTGTACGTATCCTCGAAGTATCTCTTCGAGGACACGATTGGCACGTTCCGTCTAACCATCTGACTCTAGATGATCAGATGTAGACATCTTCAAGCGCGTTCCGAGTGATTTGAACACGGAGCGCCAGAAATCAGCTGTGAAGCGTGGATCTCTGTCTGATACGAGTTCACGGGGCAACCCATGAAGTCGGAAGATGGTGTCGACAAAGACACAAGCACAGCCACTTGCCGTGATTGACTCGGGTACAGCCACAAGGTGTACCATTTTGCTGAATCTGTCAACAAATACGAGAATACCCGTATTCCCGCGTGCGTCTTTGGGTAACCCGAAGACGAAATCCATTGAGATGGATTCCCAGGACTCAGCCGGAACCGATAGAGGCTGTAAAGGTGCACGCAGTGAAGGACTTGACTTCACTCGTTGACAGACTTCGCATGCGCGAACATACTTTCGCACAAACTGATACTGGTGGGGCCAGTAAAAGTCTCGACTCACCGTGAGATATGTTTTCTCCCGGCCACGATGTCCTCCTGTAGGAGCATCGTGGTACTCGAACATGATCTGCAAACGCAGATCAGTATCACCTGGAATGACAACACGTGGTGTGTCACCAGAAACGGCTGTATAATACAGTAAACCGTTGCGAGTAGTGTTTTGATCTGATGCAGATCGATACGCAGACGACAATCGTTTCAACGATTCTCGAGATGGCTGTGAGAGATGTGTCAACAACTTCACTATCTCACCATCTTAGGCGTATGCCCGCCTCACATCATCATACAACGTTGTAGATGGGATCGTGGACGTCATGACCGCAACAGTGACTGTCTCACTGTTGGGTTTCACGACTGCTTCAAAGTCGGGACGACGAGAGAGTGCATCAGCGACGACATTAAGTCGTCCTGGTTTGTACTCGACCGTAAAGTTGTATTCTGCAAAGAATGACAACCACCGCGCCATTCGTTGTGAAAGGTGCGGGCTGTTCACTGCCGTGCGTAATGACGCATGGTCAGTGTAAACAATGAAGGGTCTATCTCCTAAGAGATAGACTCTGAACTTCGCGAGTGCATACTTCATGGCAAGGAGTTCCTTGTCATGCACTGGATAGTTCCGCTCAGCTGGTTGCAGCTGACGCGACTGATAGCAGACGACGCGTTCAACTCCTTCAAGATCGTACTGCATTAATGCACAGCCGATTGCGAAATCGCTGGCATCACAGACCACATGAAATGGCCTGTCCTGATCGGCTGTTGCTAGGACTAGGGATACTATCAAGCTCTGCTTGATACTATCAAAGGAGAGCTGACATTCAGCGTTCCATAACCACCTCTCGTTCTTTTTCAACAAACGAGAGAGATGCACAGTCATCTCGGCGTAATTGCGTGAATACTTATGCAAATACGCCGCAAGCCCAAGGAATTTTCGAAGACCTTTGACATCAACCGGCACAGGCCAGTCGGTGATCGCCTTGATCTTTTCGGGATCAGGACGTACACCGTTCTTACCAACGATGCACCCAAGAAGTGGTATTTCGCTTGCTGCAAATATACACTTCTTGAGGTTTGCATACAATTGATGCTTTCGCATGATTGTAAGAACCTGTCGGACGTGGTACCTGTGAACCTCAACGTCCGACTTTCCATCCATAGCTCGACTATGGATGAATACGTCATCGAAATAACTCGGCGCAAATTCTCGTACTGGTCTCAACAGATGTGATACACATCTGTTGAACGTGGCAGGGGCATTACTAAGCCCCTGTGGCATTACTAGCCATTCCCAGAGCATGCCGCTCGGCTTGCTCACTGCGGTATAGGGTATGTCCCGTTCTCGCATAAGGATTTGATAGAATCCATCCATCAAATCCATGGACGAAAAGATCGTACTCTTTGACATACCATCAATGATTACGTCCTTCCTCGGTATCGGCGTCTGAGCCGGTACCGTTGCAGCGTTCAATTTGTTGAACGCGTGCACTATCCGCCACCCTCCTGTTGCTTTTCGCACACAGAAGGTCGGAGATCTATGTGGGGAAGTTGATTCCCTCACATGGCCCGCAGCTAAACGATCGGCAAAGAACTTGTCGATCGCAAGTACTTGTTCACGATGCAGTGGCCACTGCTTCATGACACAGTACTTCGAGCCTGGTTTAAGCTCAACCTCGTGGCGAGTACCTTTATCCTTCAGTAATTCGCACGGAACAGTTTCAGGGAATACATCCTTGAATTCAACCAAATCTTCATAGAGAGGATTTGTCTTGAGTGATTCCCACGATTGGGAGTCATATCGCTCAACTCGTGCCTTTTCATCGAGGACACTCTCGTCCATAGATGAACTACTGATAACTCTCTCGTTCTCAGTAAACACTGTTGCTGACCTTATGTCGGCTACACACTCGTCGTCAGCGACAAGTACGCAGATCTGCTTGACTTTGCCACTACGCAGATCACGCAAGAACCTTTTATGTTCGAGCGTTGGCAACTGAGTGATCTCCGAAGTCAACTTCGGAGGCGCAATCAGATCAAGTGTATAAGCGCCTACACTTGATCCGTTATTGACTATGACATCCAATGTCTCTGTCATTTCCTGGGGACTTATTCCCTCAGGCCTCGAAGGACTTATTCCTTCGGCTTCCCGGGGACTTATTCTTGCGGGTTTCGGGGAACTTATTTCCGCCGTATTTGTAATCTTGGGACTTATTCCCTTTACTTCCTCTAGCTGGGGTTGCGCAACCACAGCGAGATCCTCTACGAAAGACTCTCCAGTCGATCTAGGATTATCGTCTCGCTTAACCTGAGCGATCGATTGTTTCTCTTCTAGATGTTCCCCGCTAGGGATACATCTTTGTCCCGGTCCACCCGACTTGTTCGAGTGGTGGACCTTCGGCGCAGCCTGTGTTTTCTCACAGCCGCCGGAACTTTGCTCCGAAGTGTAACCGTTTGGTACACTAAGGTTTTGTGCAGTCGTACTAACGACCGTACCACAAGTGAGGCCATCGCACTCACTCACTCGTAGTACATCCACACGCTTGTGGACGCTCCAAAACGTTCATCAGATGGCCATCTGATGAACAAGCGGCAGGCATCATTACTGTTCGATGTTGCCAGTTTGCCCGTGGTTCGTACCTTCTGAGCCACGGTATTCCAAGGATGACATCAAATTTGTCATCCAAATCCAATACGATAAAGTCATCGTCATATTGAGTATCTTCTAGCGTATAGTGGATCTTCACTATACGCTTCATGACGGTTACGGATGCGCCTGTCGCAAGACGTACCGTCATCCTCGTAGGAGGTGTGTCACATTCACTGAATTTAAAGTGACCATCTTCTAGCGATTGGCGTCGCACAAAATTTTTGGACGCCCCACAATCGACTAGAGCTCGAAGGGACAACTTATTCGTCACTTCGAGTTTCAAGGTAATGAGTGAGATCTCATTACCTAGAGCAGCAACGCACAACGTTTGTGTATTGGGAGCAACCTTCATCAAGAGGCCTGAAAGTTCTCTTGACGTTGCTGGACCAGTAGGGTGCTCCGCACCTACTGATCCTGTCCGTTTTTTGACGGTCCATCCCGTTGTTGCGTCTTTGCACCAACAGCGGACCCTCGTCCCTGCCCCTTTCTCATGGGTGGACGGTCACTACGCCCAGTGTCGCGAGACACTGGACGAGGGGCACTACACTCGTAAGCGTAGTGTCCTGTCTTTCGACATCTGTTGCATTTCTGCAACTTCTTGTAGCCTGTAGAGCGAGCCTTCTTGCTCTCTACATAACAGAGTTCCATCGGCTCTGGACTTCCGCTGTCATATCGTCTCGGTTGACGATATGATGTCGAGCTGGCGCGAGCCTGTCTCAGGCTGAAGTCTTCCTGCTCCGCAATGGAAATGGCTTGTTCTAGTGAATCTAGTTCAAGCCGGAACAGGTGAGTCTTGACGGGACCATCCGCAAGACCCTGCATGAACACCGAAACCAACGTGTGTTCATCAACCGGGTTGGAACTTATACAACTCGTAAGATGTCGTATATGTTGCGCGTAAGCGTGCACATCACGCTTACCTTGCTTGAGCTTCAAGAGTTCGGTCCGAGCTCTGAACTCAGCTCTAGGCGGTTCAAACGTTTGTCTGAGCCGCGACTTGAAGACTTCCAACGACCCAAACGCATATGGGTCGTGCAACTTGAGCCCCAGTGCCCAAGTCTTGGCACGTCCTACCAGATTTGACTGGGCGAATGCAACTTGCATATCCCCGTCGTCGATGCGACGCGCCCTTATGGCGTCATCCAATTCGACGAACCATCTCAAGAGGGAGTCCTCTTCGACTCCCCTATACTTGGAGATGTCAATTTTCAAGGTTTCGGGTCGACGCGAGTGCATCGTTCCACCAGCAGCAGCCTGCTGCTGTATCAACAGTTCAAACTGTAGAACACCCTGTTCTCTCAACAATTCTGCTTGTTGAGAACCTTGTTGGTGAAGCAAGGCTACTTTCTCGCGTTCGGCGTCAAGTTCATTTTGAATGAACTTGGCGATAGTAGCATGTTGGGCATCTCTATTGAGAGCCTCTAGCATGACGCTAACAGCATGGATGCCCATGGTTGAACCCATCCGTTCAACCGCATCCCATTCGACATCGCTCAAATGGGAGTAGCCGTCACGCGTAGCGTAAAAGCTTTGGTCATCTTCATTATCTAACATATCCATGTTAGATGTGAACGTGGTCCTTAAACGGACTACGAAGTGCTACCAGGTGTAACGGGGCACCCTGAAGCTTGTACTGATGACTGTACAAGCTACTTATTCTGATGATAGAATAAGGCGGTGCCTCGGAACTTCACGTACACTCGTACGGGCAGAGGAAGACGATAGAAGAAGCGAGTACTTAGTTTAAGTAAAAAGTAGAACTGTATTTATAATAGTTAATGTCTGTAATCAACCCCCTGTTTATCCTCATCTAACTATGTCTGAATACAAATGTGCGTATCAACTATCTGCTCACCACTCATTGCGTGCGTCTGTCGTGGCGCGTCTTCGTCGGTTGATATAATGGCCTATATCGACCAATTAGGAACTACTCGTAAGTGCTGCAGAATATTTGTCCTTATGACAATATTCTGAGAATATAACTTTTATAGTTACATTCTATTAACAATTTCTTATAAATTGTTATGTAACGATTCACCCCGTTTCAGCGTCGTCGTATGGCGAGAACTTGCTCACCACTCATTGCGCGCGTCTAGCAGCGATTGGTGGCAATATATGGTTGATATGCCTTATACCGACCAATCTTAGAAGCAGCGAATGAACTTTATTTAAAAGGGGATAATATTCCTTCAATATTTCCATCCCGGATAATATCGGTAGAATATTGTCATGCTAGACGATATCTTTATTGACACCGTTTGGTATCAACATCATGTAACGGGCTGCCCCGTTACACCCCCCCCCCTTATCCATAAATCATCCGTTGACTGAAATAAAATTGATTGGGACAGGGAGACCACCGTTGGATCACTCTGGGAAAGGGAGCACTTGTTGGTCAAATCCCATTCATTTGCCAATCCAACACACGGGGTCGAAAACCACGCGAGCTGCTACTGCAGCAGCAAGAAGGGCGGCGGCACGCGTGCGTGCGGCCGCGGAAAATGCCTCTCACACCTCAGCAGCAGGCGATTCGTCGCCTGTTGTCGTGAATCATCCGCGTGGTGAGTCACCACGCGCGACAGGTACATCCATTGCGTCTGCAGCGGGTACCTCGAATCGTAATCAAGACGAGTCTGAGATAGCGATAATCTATTCTGGCGAGTCGGATGATGCATCCGACTCGAAGGCGACTCCTCACGCCTCGGGATCACCCAGGGCGGACGCTGCAAAAGCCAGGCTGACTGGATCTGGTCAGTGCGGCAGTATCACGACAGATTTCGTCGGATCGAGTGCTTATTCCGATGAGTCTCCGCCTCACGCAAGTCCATCCAATGATCGGACGCGTGGAGATGGTGGTGATGCACCTATGCATCACAACGAGCGAAGTAACTCAAGGGATCGGGGTAACACTGGTGCCAGTGCTCATGCTAACACCAATCAAGAGGCCAGGGACCAAAATGTCCTGCGCCGCGCTCCTCAAGTGGAGTCTCCGTGGATGCCGCCATCCAGAGAGTTGGGCCGATTGGCCGGCACGACTACCGAACGGGATCGAATTTCGTTGTTCGATTGCAGGAAGATTTGCCCACCTGATTTCAGCACGGAAACTATCCGTGCGGAGGAAGAGTACTTCACCGATGCGTTCTTCAAACATCGGTGGTTCAAGGCAGCCGTGTACGAGACGGCAAAGCCTTGGTGCAGGGATGGAATGCCCTCATCCACAACATCGAGTGCACTGGCCGTGAGACTTGGCTCGCCAAACTTGATGCAGCTCGCATCAGGTTTGAGAATTCGTGTCCAGGTTGCCTGGACAACTCGAACCGTGCCCCTAGGGAGGCTTACCTCCCTAATGATCCCTACTGGAGGGCGCGCATCTCTTACGAGGTGGCCGAAGGGATCTACACTATTCAATCTATGTACTCGCGTTCGGGGAGGTCGTTTTCCGACGGCCCTTCTTCAAACGCAGCGGGTGGGTCTCGTCGTACTTGTCGACGAGACCAAGGACATCAACAATCAGCTGGGTACGAGGCTCCCAGCTGTCCCACGCTGGTGGATAGCCACTCTAGCGGGCGAGGTAACTCGTCCGGACGCCATTCACATTGCGGTGGTTCAAAATACGCTCCACTAGGAAGCGTTGACCATCGCTTGAGTATACCAAAGGATGTGGTGGAGGCAGAAACACCTGATCCGGCTCGAGGGTCGGATCAGTTTGATGTTCAAGAGATGAACCATAAAACGGAACAGTTGCAAGAAGATCTGGCTCACGAACGGAGTCGGCGTTATGAGCTTGAGGATCTTGTGAGAGATAATTAAAATTTCCGAACGCACGATCGTTCGGACTATCGTGCCGCTTTCGCGTTCGCGCAACTTGAGAACGAACATTTATCTAGATCTCTTCGTGACGAGATGGCTGTAGCTCGTCGAGACATCGCTTAACTGCGTGAACAGGTCGCTTCGCTAGTCGACCAGACTGGCTCGTTGAAACGGGACCACTCGAAGGTGGACTCGGCTCTCGACAGCGGAGGTGTTCTTCGCATCTCGAAACGGGCTCGTACTAATAGTACGGGCGGAGACGACCGACATAAAACGTAGGATGCGTACGCATCTTACGGGTCAGTTCAATCGTGTATGCTTTGCCCATTCGGCGCAACACACGAAATGGACCGATTTGCTTGGGCAGTAATTTACTGCTGCCCACGTTTGTCTCTGCGTGTTTCTGTAAGTTTACTGTAGACAGTAAAACTAAGTCTCCTTCGCTGAATGAAAGAACCATTTATCTTCCATGTTTGTCTGCGTTTCTCTTCCGTCTGTCTAGTGCATCTTTAATAGAGTCTTAAACGAAGCGGACAACCGCTTCGCGAGTCAGCAGAAATTCCTCTGCTGATTCATCCTTGTCAACAGCAGTGCGCTTCGTGTGCACTGCTGACCGAACGTTGTCTTCACCAGTGAGGGTGTCATCGTCCTCACTTTGGCAGTCACTGGAGATGCTGACTATACCAGCATCGTCGTCATCATCATCATCGATATCGATCGCATCGACATCGGCATCCATCACGTCGACACCATTGTCGACGGGTGATGAGCAAGAACCAGATCGGTTTTTGGTTCAAGCGAGTCCACCCCCCCCTTAAACTAGAGGCACACTCTAAGAAGGCGGGTAAACGTGGATGGCATAGGCCATTCACGAAGAACGGTGTATGCGTTGTCGACGCGTGCACCGGGTTGTTGATGGCGTATTCCGCCATCGGCAAGAACTCACTCCAGCTCGTAAATGAGTGGACATACCCTCGAAGTGTCTCTACGAGAACGTGGTTGACGCGTTCCGTTTGACCATCTGTTTCGGGATAATCAGAAGTTGACATCGTCAAACGTGTTCCAAGTGAACGGAACACGGATTGCCAGAACTCTACTGTGAAGCGGGGGTCCCTATCGAACACGAGTTCACGGGGTAACCCGTGAAGTCGGAAGATAGTATCGATGAATACACGCGCACAGCCCTGGGCTGTCATTGACTCCGGTACAGCAACCAGATGTACCATCTTGCTGAACCGATCAACAAACACAAGAATAACAGTATTCTTGTGAACGTCTTCGGGAAACCCGAAGATGAAGTCCATCGATACGGACTGCCAACACTCTGCCAGAATCGGAAGAGGCTGAAAGGGTACGCGGGATGAAGAACTAGGCTTCACCCGTTGGCAAACTTCGCGAGCGCGAATGCATTTCCGCACGAACTCATACTGGCGGGGTCAGTAGAAGTCACGACTCACCATGAGGTAAGTCTCTTCTCTACCGCGATGCCCACTTGTTGGGGCATCATGACACTCATACATGATGCGCAATAGCAAATCATTATGAGCCGGAACGACGACACGAGGTGTGTCGCCGTGGACTGCTGTTTAGTACAGCAGTCCATCACGAACCGAATATCGTTCGGTTGAAGAGCGGTATTGAGACGTCAAGCTTGTCAAAGCTTGATAACACGGATTGGATACGTAATCCATCAACCGCAGAAGAAACTCATCTTCTGCGTATGCTTTTCGCACATCGTCGAGCAGATTCGACGACGGAACACCTACTGCTAGTGTCGCGACAGTGGGATCACCCCTACTGTTGGGTTGAGCAGTCGACTCGAAATCGGGCCGACGCAAAAGAGCATCAGCGACGACATTAAGTCGTCCTGGTTTAAACTCGACGGAGAAGTTGTACTCCGCGAAAAAAGACAGTCACCTCGCCATTCGTTGCGAGAGGTGTGGACTGTTGACGGCCGTGCGTAACGACGCATGGTCGGTATAAACGATGAACGGCCTATCTCCTAAGAGATTTACCCGAAAATTTGCCAGTGTATGTTTCATGGCAAGGAGTTCCTTGTCATGCACCAGATAGTTACGCTTATCTGCTTGGAGATGACGCGATTAAAAACAGACGACGCGCTCAACGCCGTCTGAGTCGTACTGCATTCCCGCGCAGCCGATTTTAATATCTCTAGCGTCATAGACAACATGACATGGTCTATTCGGATCTGCAATCGCCGACACAGGCGATCGTATCAAGCTTTTCTTGATACCTTCGAATGAGTGCTGACACTCAGCGCTCGATGACCACCTCTCGTTTTTTTAGTAGACGAGAGAGATCCACGGTCATCTCGGCATAGTTGCGTGTTTTGTTGTGCAAATACGCTGCCAAGCCAAGGAACTTATGAAGTCCCTTGATGTCGACTGGCACAGGCCAGTCACTAATCACCTTTATCTTTTCCGGATCAGGGCGTACACCGTTTTTATCCACGATGCAGCTAAGGAGTGGTATTTCGTTCGCTGCGAATATACACTTCTTCAGGTTCGCGAACAACTTATGCTCTTGCGTAAGTGTAAGAACCTTCTGGACGTGGATTCTATGAACCTCCACGTCCGCCTTTCCATCCATAGCCCGGCCATGGACGAAGACATCGTCGAAGTGACTCGGTGCGAAATCGCGCACCGAACGCAACAGGTTTTTAGCACATCTGTTAAACGTTGCGGGGGCGTTACTAAGCCCCTGTGGCATCACTAGCCACTCCCAGAGCATACCACTGGGGGTGCTCACTGCTGTGTAAGGGATGTCCCATTCACGCATGAGGATCTGATAGAATCCATCCATCAAATCCATGTACGAAAAGATGGTACTCTTTGCCATACCATCTATGATGACGTCCTTTCTTGGGATCGGCGTTTGTTCCGGTACCGTTGCAGCGTTAAGTTTGTTGAACGCGTGCACTATCCGCCACCCTCCTGTTGCTTTTCGCACACAGAAGGTCGGAGAGCTGTGTGGAGATGTTGATTCCCTCACATGACCAGCAGCTAAACGATCGACAAAGAATTTGTCGATCGCTGTGACCTGTTCACGAGGCAGTGGCCACTGCTTCATGACACAGTATTTCGAATCAGGTTTCAGTTCGATCTCATACCGAGTGCCTTTGTCCTTAAGCAGCTCGCATGGCACGGATTCTGTAAAACATCCCTGAATTTAACCAAATCCTTATTCAAAGGATTTGTCTTTAAAGACTCCCAAGATTGAGACGTGTATCGCTCAATCCGGGTCTTCTTATCGAGGAAACTCTTGTCCATCGATGAGCTACCGAGAACCCGTTCGTTCTCAGCAAACACTTGTGCCGACCGAATATCGGCGACGTACTCGTCCTCTATGACGAGTACGCAGATATGCTTGATCTTGTCACTACGCAGATTGCGCAAGAATCTTTTAGATTCTAGCGTTGGCAACTTGACTACCTCCGAAGCTGACTTCGGATGTGTAATCAGATCAGGTGTATAAGCGCCTACACTTGATCCGTCATTCACCAAGACATTCACTGTCTCGATGATTTCCTGGGAAGACACATCCGCAGGTGGTTGGGGACAATCGATAAAATAGATTTTTTTTGGGTTGAAGTTAAAATTTAAAAACTTAAACTTTGTAATTCAATTGCTAAATATATAGTAATTAAATGATTAGATGAAATTAATAACATTAAACCTAATAAAGCAATTAACATTTTTATATTAATCTAATATGAATTTATTTTTTGTTGTATTAAGTTTTTTTTTGAATCAAAAACAAATAATCGTTGTTAAAATTAAAAAAAACTTTAATAAGTTGAGTAAAATTGTTAATAATTAACACCCCGTTTAATAAATTATTCGAAACATTAGTAATATCCACACCCTCAACATAACTCTCTCGGAAGTTATGACTCTCAGGAACGCTGGATTTTTCTTCCATTATGTGAACTATCACGGTCACGTCCTCTTCTATCGACTCTCTTTCAGTCGATAGGACTTGCTCTACGATCGACTCTCTGATAGTCGATCTCGCTTCAACGTCTTGTTCATCCTGAACAACACTAATCTCTCTTCTTGGATGCACCCTTCTTTGTGTGCATCCGTGTTCCAGTCCACTCGGTCTCTTCTAGTGGTGAACCTTCGGCGCAGCCTGTGTCTCTACACAGATGCCGACAGCTGGTTCTACAGTGCAGTGGCCTTCTACACTGTGATCTTGTGCAATCGTACTAACGACCGTACCACAAGTGAGGCCATCGCACTCACTCGTAGTACATTCACACGCTTGAGGACGCTCCAGGACGTTCATCAGATAGCCATCCGATGAACAAACGGCAGGCATCTTCACGAATCGATGCTGCCAGCTGATCCATGGCTGGTACTTTCTAAGCCATTGCAGACCAAGGATGACATCAAATTTGTCATCTAAATTTAGTACGATAAATTCATCATCGTATTGTTTTCCTTCTAGCGCGTAGTGTATTAAAAACTACACGTTTGTTCACTGTTACGGATGCGCCTGTAGCAAGGCACACCGTCATCCTCGTTGGGGGGAACTCTCGCTCAGCATAGCTGGGCCTACTATCCCTTAGCGACTGGCGTCGAATGAAACTGTTCGACGCACCACAGTAACTAGGGCGCAAAGTGACATTCCACTTGTCACTTCGATCTTCAAAGTGATGAGGACACCTCATGAGGACACCTCATCACTATGAAGATCGAAGTGACAAGTGATATGTCACTTCGCGCCCTTGGACACCTCATCACTAGGGGCAGCAACACACAGAGACTGTGTGTTGGGAGAAATCTTCGTCAAGAGTCCTGCAAATTCTCTTGACGTTGCTGGATCAGCAGGGTGCTCCGCCCCTAGTGACCCTGACCGTTTTTTGACGGTCCGACTTACTGTCGCGGCTTGGCGACATGGTCGGACCCACGCCTCGGACCCTCCCTTGGCCAACGGCGGTCATCACGTCCTATCTTTGGGACGTGTTCCAGTGCTCGGGACACTACACTCATGAGCGTAGTGTCCAATCTTCTGACAGCGATGGCATCTTGCCGTTCGCTTGTGACTCAGAGAGCGATAGTTCTGGCTCTCGATGTAACAGAGGTCCATTGGTTCGGGACCTCCTGTTTCCTGTCGCCTCGTTGGACGATAGTTTGACGAGTTAGCCTGAAACTGTCTCAGGCTGACTTCTTCTTGTTCCGCATACGCTATCGCCTTTTCCAGCGTAGGGAAGTCCTCTAGGAACATGTAGGTCTTCACCAAACATCCACAAGGCCGTAGATGAACACGTTGATGAGCGTGTGCTCATCAACAGGGTTTTCCGTAACGCTACTCGCAAGGTAGCGTAGGTGATGTGCGTAAGCGTGCACGTCACGCTTACCTTGCTTTAGCCTTAAGAGTGCAGAGCGTGCTTTGAACTCGGCTCTCGGCGGCTCAAACGTCTCTTTAAGCCGAGACTTCAAGATCTTCCGCGACTCGAACACGTTTGGGTCGTGAAGCGTGATCCCTAAGGCCCAAGTCTTTGCTCGTCCCGTCAAATTTGACAGGGCGAAGGTGACTTGCATCTCGTCACCCTCGATGTGATGGGCCCTGATGGCATCGTCTAACTCGACGAACCATCTCAAATGGGAATCTCCGTCGGTTCCCTTGTACCTTGAGATATCAATCTTCAAGGTTTCGGGTCGACGCGTGTGCTTCGGCCCGCCCATTGACCGATGAGAGCCTTGCTGTTGTAGCAATGCTATCATTTGTCTTTCTGACGGAAAGTTCATCTTGTAGAAACTTGTTGGTAGCAGTATGTTGCTGGTCTCTTTTAGAGACTCTAACATACCACTGATAGCGGGTTCGCCCATGAGCACACTCATGCGGCCGACTACCTCCCATTCTGAGTCACTCAGGTGAAGGTAGCATTTACGTGTGTCGTGAAAGCTGTCGTTTTCTACGTCCAACATGTTCATGTGGGACAAACACTAAGTAGTCGTTGGACAGACTACGAAGTGCTACCAGGTGTAACGGGGCACCCTTCGTTTGGGTGCCACGAAACTTCACGTACACTAGTACGCGCAGAGGAAGCTAATCTGCTTGAACGACTCGGTCAAGTAAAGGCAAAAAGAGAACGGTATTTAACATAGTTAAGCTATCAATATAACTTTAATACATATCGAGTTATATTAAACTACGCCGTCGTATGACGACAACCTGCTCACCACTCATTGCGCGCGTCTAGCAGCGATTGGTGGCAATCTACGGTTGATATGTCTTATGTCAACCAATCTTGGAGCAGCGAATGAGTATTATCCAAAAGGGGATTATTTTCCTCCAATATTATCCATCCCGAATAATATCGGTAGAATATTGTCATGCTAGACAATATTCCTATTGACACCGTTTAATGTCAATTTCATGTAACGGGCTACCCCGTTACACATCGCCTTCACAGAAAATCTGAGACGCAAAAATCTCCGCTAGAATTTGCCAAATTCAATCCTTGCACACTATTTGGACCTGAATTTTTTCCTTGCCGTAGAATAATTTAACTGGAAATCGCATGTCCTCAATGCTTGGGATACTCAACTCTTCTACTAATGCCGGTCGAAACTCTTCTTCAACCGCCCGACCCTGCACGAGGGAAAAATTCCGAGATCGACCGTGCTGCGCACGAATAATTGCTGTATGTTAACAGACTCCACGCTCCAAGAGTCGCGCTGTATCAGCAGCATCCAACTCGTCACGAAGACACGAACATTGAGCACATGAGAGCGCCGTTTTTTTACTGCCAGAGACCGCAGTATCTGAAACGCAATTGCCGTGCGACCGGACGGATCGATACAACGACTAGTCAAATTCGCATGTTTCCAACGAGCAGCGCTTTATCTTAAACGTTCACCTCAGTGGGCAAAAATGTTGCTGCAATATTTATAATTCCGCCGGTATCGATGGATAAAACACGACGATCCGTGATTTTCGCCTTGAGAACAGACGTGCACGACCTTTTTAGCAAACAATTGCCATCAGATCGAGCCGAATAAATAAATAGAAACCATTACCGCCAATCGCGACCGACAGGAGACAACGTGGCGATATTTCATCCAATCGATAGCGTGCACCACGCCCTCGTCGTCTGCATCCAGTCGCGCGTGCCGTCTCGAAGAGCTCAGCGCAATTGACGGCATCTCTCGATCTCCACATCGCTCGTGCGACCGCGAAAATGGTCGTGACGATACAGTGCTCCATGCCGCAGTTCATTGCACGGTGCTTGGAAGAGATTGGCCTGGAGGGGCGTTGTGGGATGCCACTGCGCGACCTCTTTGATGTGATGGACCCACGTCACGACGTGGCGTACCGTCGCTACGCGTGGCAAGTGCTGCGGAGTATGGAAAGTCAGCTGCTGTTCCATGTTATGCGTCCATTGAAGACCGAAGAAGGTGCAAGTACATGCAATGAAGTGGATAAGAAGCTGCTGAGTGGCGGAGACGCCGCAAGTCACTACACCGCACCAGTTCGGAAGCGCAAGTGGAAGACGACGTTGCGGCCTCAGATCTGTACGTCTAATGCAATGCAGGATCGAGTGGATGAACACGAGGTGAGCGCGTTGAAGCGACGTAAACGCAAGAGCCACGTGCTACAGCCTGTGCTACCGTCAATGCGACGTATAGCGGCTCAAAAGCAGCGTCGGATGTTGTCTGACACGGAGAGCGGATCTCGAGATATAGGCGAGCATGGGAGTCGATTTAGGAGGCGGCGGCGGAAGCGACAGGGAAGTATCAGCGGTCGGCGGGAAGGAGGAGAAGTGGTTGTGGAGAAAGAAGAGCAGGGCATAGACATAAAGGACGCGACGGTGGAAAAATATTGTTGCAAGAAGAAGGAGACAGAAAGCGTGCAAGCCTGGCCGCAGCAGTTTGTCGAGTTAGGGTGTGATGTAGAAGTGAAAGACGAAACGGAAGACGCTCCAGATGAAACACGATGGGTCTTACGAAGTCCACGAGGATTTCGACTTGGACGAGAGGTAGATATAGGCAAGCTGAGCTATGAAGAGGCCGTGACAAGCAATAAGGATGGCGTGCTAGGTGTCGTCGCCTGCGAAGAAGTGCGACTAAAGTATTTGGGTGTGCAAGATGCAGGCTCTATGGATACAATATCACCACAGTTTGATCTTTTGGAGATGATTGGTCGTGCAAGGGCGCGCGGAGAAAATGCTGCAACGTTGGCAAATACGAAGCTGTTTGGAGACTCGCGAAAGTTGCACTATTTACTGGATATGTTGATCGTTTCGAATTACGTGGTAAAAAACATTGTGACGGCTGATCAGCGACGATTCAACATCGTCCACTTGCGGCGGTTTGCCAGCCAGTTCCACCCGTCGATGGTATCACCGTCCGCTACAATGGCTTGGCAAGCATTTCCTAAAGAAGTACTAGCGAATGTCATCGTGAACATGATGAAAGCTCGAAGAGAAAGGACTTGTGTATTCGCAGACATTGGGCGTGAGCTCGGCTTTGGGAAACGCCAGCAGGAACAATTGCGGAATTATTTCATCCAGCAGATGGACACAAAACCGAGCTTTCCTCTTCAGTTGTTTATGGCGCGATGTAAAACAGGTAGTGAGTTTATAGGGCGAAAATTGTGGTGTATCCGACTACGTGATAGTTCATCGAATTCGTCTGTTTTGTCTGATCGGCGGCGGAGCTCGTCAGTTACATACGAAGAGCTTGTACCTAATGCAATTGTAGTTGGCAGGCCCTTTGTTGAGCGTGGCATCATGGAGCAATTGTTTATGGCCATTCAGGCCCGAGGAGATATTGGCGCTACGGTTCCTGAACTGCGGGATGCGCTGGGTGTCCCAACGTTCAAGCTGCCATACAAGCTTGCGCAGGGATTAATTACAAATTATAATATCTCGGTGGAACAAGTTGTTCTAGGCAAGAGTACAATGTATCGGATGTTTGTTCCTGGTGTCGCAAAAGGAAACGCAAATAGCGAGCATGCGACGATTGGCAGTAGCTCGACGTCAATTGATTTAACAGTTGGCGTGCGGGTGACTCGTGCTGCTGAGAAGTATAGTACGCCGAAAGGTGTGGACGACAATGACGATGGTAATGGCCAACCTCAGCCCGTTACGATGAAGGAGGCAACGCGAGGGATGGTGCGGGCATCAACAATTGATAGGCGAAGGAACTACATTTTGAAGCGGATACAGACGGAGAAAGTGGTGTCACTGCATCAGTTACGCACTGGTTTGATAGAAATGGAGCGCGGAGCAGAAGCAAGCATCATGGATATTCGCTCAGTACACCGCATAGTCGATGAACTTGTCGAGGAGAAGAAAGTGACTACAATGGATATTGTCATGCCCTTGAAGCAGGTTCTTCAGAAAGCACATCGTAAGGTGAAGTGTGCTGTGTTGATCGGGTACCAGCGCGACCGTGAAGCGATTCGCGAATTTATTGAATCGTACGAGATGGAGCATCAACGTAAGTATCAGGCAAATCTTGTGGACCACGACAACGATGATTATGTCGTGATAACCAATCGCCAGAAGCAGCGCCATTGCGGGGGGCGTGCAATACAAGAGATAGAGGCTAAGGAAATTCGCGATCAAGAGGTCGTTAAGTACAACGCGGTATCTTACAAATTGGCTCGGCTTGGGCTGGTGAAGCTACAAAAGCAAAGTCGCAGGCTTGGGATGTTTTTCGGCATGATGTATAAGTGCCGCGCATTCCACTTCATGGTCTGGAATCGAATTAAAATCTTGGGAGCTCGAGATCCAATATTAAGTGGCAAGGCTGCTACAAGTCTTGACGGATTACATCGCGCGGGGAAGTGCGCGAACCCTAGTAGCTTGCGGGAGGTGACATTCGCGCTGAAAGACGCGTTGGATCTTTTGTCTGTGAAAGAGTACATCCAGCTTGTTGGTGTGATGGAATTGCTTACCGATCAAGAAGAGACAACCACTCGATTGATTATTTCGAAGGGCGGTTCGTGGGATGCACTGTCTCAACCGATCGCAGAAAAAATACGGGGGGGTGAGGCCGACCGGTTTTCGAAGATTGTGCGTGTGCTTCTCGATTTAAGGCTCCTGCAGGTAGTGCGCGATACGTCTTCGACTAGTCTTTTCAATGTGTTCCAGACATCCGATGACTTTGACACGACTGTTTCAAGGGTGGCATTTGCAACGTTATCAGGGGGGCTGTTTAAGCTCAAGCGTCGTGTTCACATTAGTGTACGGCAAGGAACAAATGTGCTGCATCGACTTCCGTCCGAGTTCTCTTATGCATACGCTCCAGGTTTTTCTTGCAAAAGCAAAAGTGACCACTTCGCTGGGCGTGTTCCCCTTGGATTCGATCTGCGTGAAATGGATGACGTGATGGCATACTGGAAGTCACTACGCTTTTTAAGTGTCGAGGGGGCTCGATTAGGCGCTAAATCGCGCGAGAAAAACAGTCTGAGTGTCAAGCTTGACGGTGCTTTGATCCGATCGGCCCCTTTGTCAGATCACAACATCTACGTGCTGAAGGCATGGGTACCTCACTCGAAAACAAGCACAAGAACCAGCGCTGCTCGAGCTAAAGCAGCCGCGGGACCTATACAGGCGCTGAAGCGTAAATGCATCCAAGCATATGCGCCTGCTGCAAAAGGGCTTCCACAAAAGCGACGTAAGATTGTCAAAAATGGTGACGGCTCGAATCCTGCGTCGATAGCTGTGGTTCCTACAAGTGAAGTTGGTGTTGGCAAGTTTCGCAAGCATCTTGGTGCAAAGAAAACCCGCCGTACCCACACATGGACTCTCGACGAAGACCTACATTTGATTGATCTTTACCTTGAACAAGTATCGTGTCGGTGGTTTATCGAGATACCGTTAGCGTTGCAAAAGAAGGGAGAGCGAGTTGCGTTTCGTAGCACCAGGTTGTCTCGCACTTTAATTGCTTGGAAGGAGCTTGGCAAAGTGTTTAAGAAGAAGCCGGTCGAGTGTATGTTGCGCATAAATGATTTACTAGAAGCGCCCGCTATTTATGCAAGGCTAGAAAGGGCCAAAGTCACTATCACGCAAATGAAAAATCCTGGCGGAGAATTTTACGAGGAGGCCGCAATCATGCGCCAACCACGACTTACTGCGCTGCTTTGCCGAGCGTTGCAAGTCATTCTACATGATCGGTCCAGCTATTACTCAGTTATGGCCGATATGCTGATGAATAGCTGGAAAGAGAGCGAGGTGAAACTGGTATGGCGGTATTTATGGTTGGCTGGAATAATCACGCGAACTCCTCAGGCGAATGAAAGCAAAGATCAAAAACAACGAGGTTTCCAAGTCCACTCCAAGGTATTCGAAATGAAAAGTTTGAAGATCTCGTGGTACACAATCGAGACGTTTTGCGAGGCCGCCAAATATTTATCCTTCGTCGACGAAAATGTTGATGAAGCTACGATGATTGCCGAAGAAAATGATCATCAGTATGAGCAAGAGATTGGAGTGAATATGTCACGAGGCCATGTTGCTCTGTCGTTGTCGTCAATGGTGTCTGGGTTTTCACATCTTGTCCCGGCGTTCGTTGCACCGAAAAAGCGCGTGGAGGATTGTGAGAGTGTCCGAGTGTTATCTGTGAAAGGTTTAGCAGGCCATTTATCACAACAGTGGGATGGAGTGTTCCCGGAAGATTTTCTGAAGGAGTATTGGGCCGTGAAGTCCGTTTTCGGGATTTTGGACGTGGGAACGAGAGCGCGAACAATTAAGGCAATGCAGGCCTTTTCTGACTGCGATCATACCCATCTTGAAGCAGACTTGTGTACTCATCCCATACGACAGGAAGACACAACTCAGCATTTGCTCCAGTCGTTGTTGCTAAGTATGTTAACTGGGTCTGCAGCTTCGGGCATGACATTCGATGAATTATGCGAACGGTATGCAGCATCTGGACTTCGAGAAAAATTGGAATGCCAGACTCCTGTGACCGTACTGATTCAGCGCGAGATGAATGAAATGATTCAAGACGGTAAGGTGCTCGAGGTCAACGGGTATGACCGAGTTCGCTTTGTGCTCCGAGAGTTTTCAGACCTCTGGACACTGCATAGTTACCGGGTTACAAATGACTCGGGTGAGGCGAAAGTGCGCTTTCTTTTTGATAAGGTTATCGCTGTTGTTGCACGTCCGTGGCTTCGTTTGGATGGAAGCGTCAACACCAAGATAGCAATTAAATTGAAGCGCAAGGTCGTGAACATTATCATGTGCTGCCCTGGCATCCGAGATGGCGCTGTTCACACAAAAATGCGCAAGGTTGTTAGCTTGCAAGACATGCGTTCGCTCTTAGAAGAGCTGGTCATTAGTGAAGTCATTTACGCTAGAGTATTCCGCGACTCCCAGCCGCCAGTCACCAGCATTTTTTCTGGACCGGAGAGGCCTCAAGATCGCAAGGTTGACATAATGACTTTGTTACCTGGAGAACTGCGATATATTGACTTTTCTCGCGATCACCTACACTACTTTCCATCCGTCAATTGTATGGAGCTTTTTGGTGCAGAAGCGTGTGACGCTGAAATGTGGTGATGTACATGATTTTCAGATGGACTGAATGAACGCAACATGTAAAATATCTGAATCCAACATTATGTGGTCCCTCGATCTGTACCTTTGGCAAGATTTGACGTGCTCAACTATACTGGCATGGACGAAAGCAGAAGTCATCGTTATGTTTACCTTTTGCTCAACGAGGATTGCCAATGATGTATTTTGTGCTGATTAGGTTTCTGAAGTACGCTTAACACTTTTCAGTTTTTGTCCAGGTCGGCCCAGTCGCAGGAGCTACATTGCGGACCTCACTGACGAACACCTTGGCAAACACCTATTTAATCGTGATAGCGCCTATTTGTACCAGCAATCTGAACTGTGCGGAGAAAAGCAGCTGGCCGTCAGGGTGTGTAGTGTCCTCTTAGATGCACAAATTTGAGGCTCAACAGTTTCCGGTACAGGTGGCTGAGAATAAGTCATACCTGTTCGCCTGATCATTTGCTTGGTTAAAAGCTTTTTTTGAGCTTTTTGCGAGTCACGACAGCATGGCTCTGAATCGAAGTCAAACGTGGCAGTGTCTTATGGGTGTGGATTGGGCTAGAGCCTAGCATAAAGTTCTTGGCAGTGAAACGGGCGACTTAGAAGAAGTGCTGATTGATGAGGCATGACTGGTCATCCGAACTCCTCATGTGCAATGGTATATGTAAATGAAGGACCTGCGAGCTGTTGACAGAGTAGCTAGCTCAACTTGACAGATGGCAGCGACACCAAAATTGCGCCTTGTCACTATCGTCATACAGTTGATCCGTGCATCATCGATCCAAAGTAGCAGAAAGATCAGTCGTCCTTTTGACGCACAGGTTCTAAAAAAGGCGTTGCACGTGATCTTGCGCATTACGAGTTGCTTGTCGTTGTTGTTTAGGTGCCCGTTGAAGATGTGCACGGATTGCTGTACGACACAAAGGAAGTGTATGCTGCAGTTTCTTACCCGAAACATGAACCTGACTTGAAGCGTCTATCCACGACGCACGACTTCTTGTCATTTAGCACTAGATGAAAGCATGAGGGGCATGGTCATATAGGTTGAATGTAATGCTTCAATCCTCGATCGTACTCGTAAATCTATCAAGAAGAAACATGTGCATAAATGCTCTGTGAAACTTTGATAGACACCGCAGAGCAAACGGCTGTTTCCATTGGGTTCACACAATTTGCGAATTCATCGAGGTAGATCTCGGACAAAGCGAACCAGCACGTCGTCGGGCTATTGAAATGCATTATGACTCATCTTGAGATGCATCGAAGTAGCCGCAACTTTCCGCGCACATTACCAGATCTTAAACCATCACCCAGAACGTTCGCGTGTTTCGTCACGCGTATAGAACCAACCTTCTTCCTGGCTTTGCGTTTCGATTGATATCGTACCTGTTGATATTGACCATTCGTGAGGCTAAACACGAGCGCACGTCCGTCCTTCAAGTGATTAGACTAGAGATATGGTTCACGTATGCCTACACGGAAGCGTCTGTCCAATGTTATAACGGTCGGTATTCAGTACGTGAAGATCAGTACGAACCGAGAGTCACAAAAAAATGGTACGGAAAGTACTGCTCCGACTACAGAAGCTGATGCTTTTTCTCAGCCGTGACTAAGTCTACGAATGAGTCTTTCCACTGGACCTCGTCGAAGTGGCAAAAGTCGTGTAAACACTCGGGACTTCTTCTTCGCCTAGGTTCGATATTCGTACCTAGTTTGATTCGGACCTGATGGCCAGCCACCGACAGTTGTGGAAATCCCCAAGCGAGCGATGGAGCACTCGGTAGCGCCGAGTCGAGGCAGTCGCAAGCGTCGGAGCGGCAGCAAGCGCAAGCGCAGCGCTTGTCACCAGAGAGAGGAGCACGAGGAGCTCAAGACGGAGGAGAAGCACGGAGAAGACGAGAAACAAGAAGAAGAAGCAAGCGAAGAGAAGAAAGAAGAAGAGGAGAAGAGCGGCAAAGCTGTACCAACGCAGTGGAGCTGTCCATCTTGCACGTTTCTCAACGAGGCGTCACGCTGTTTCTGCGAGATGTGCGCGACGCCGAACCCTTCTCCACCTGCGACTTTTGCTGGAGCATTCAGAGGCACTGTTACCGCCTCGGAATGGAGATGTGCGGCCTGTACGGTCGTGAGTCCAGCAGCGATGCGGGTCTGTGCCGTCTGTGGGTTGCTGAACCCGCAGCTTGCACTGTCTTCAGGTCTTAGTATTGCGGAACCCTCGACGACACATGGAGACGAGTCGATCGTCTCGTCGTGTAGTGATGATAGTGACGAGGACGATAGCAACGAGGACGACGAGGATGATGAAGAAGAAGATAGAGAGACGTGGCGATGTACGAGCTGCGGTACGCTGTCTTGTGGACGCACGTGTCTGAACTGCTTTGCACAGCGGTCGAAAGTAGCGCGTACGAATGACAACGCTAAAGAAAAGAAGAGTAACAATGCGAAAAAGCAGACGCTATCTGTGAAGAAACAGAAGCATCAGAAACGTGAAAAAAAGCTGCAACAGCGAGCTAAAACGGCGTACGGCATTTCGATAAGCGAGCTGAAGAAAATGATGGTGGAGCCAACGAGTAGTCGCCTGGTTGAAAGTTTGCAAAGGTTGACGCATACGCTGGCAATGATAGACGCATCAACGGAAAACAAATGGGCCGACGGTCCGTCGTTCCAATTTCGAAGCTTTGGTTGTGTATCGCCATCAAAGACAGATAAAGATCCAGAGCTATTGACGGTGTTGTCTGATATTTTCAGTGGCCGCGAGCAGAAGTACCCCGCAAATGTTGGACTTTTGGCGTTGCAGTCCATTAACTATATGATGAAAATGGACCGGCACATGTTTGCGCGGTCGAAGATGGTGGACGTTGTCAGGTTGTACATTACTAATTTATTAGCGTGGAGGAATGCCAGTGGTGGCGATGCTTTAGACCCTGACGTTGCAAAGAATGAATCGATGATCGTGGAAGAGTGTTTGAGCGGTTTGTCAAGTCTGTGTAGCACTGAGAGGTTCGCTCTTCGAGAAGTGGTAGCACAGGAAAATTTTGCTGGATATCTGACTTTCCTGACAAATATAGCGGATGGAGATAAGGGACGAGGTGGTGGTTTTCATGCAAGTACCGTAATGACGGCGCTTGAAATCCTGCAAAAGTGCTGTTTCAAATTACAATGGAGCAAAAAGCTTAGTCAAGCGGACCCATCTACCGACAACGCAAACTCGGAGAAACCCACAACTCTACGACAGGGTGCCCGACTTACACTGGGACTAGCTACAAAGTTGATTGGCTTTTTGCGAAAATTATTACAACACAAACATGTCCCGTTGCACGTCAAGGCAGCGAGGTGCTTGTTACGTATATTTCATCGCATTCCTTATGACAGGCCTGATATAATAAGGCAGCTCGTTTCATCTGAAGTGTTGCGCAACTTCGTTGCAGTGGTGGTGAACACAGACAGCGATGAGTCGGAAGAATCGCGTTTAGCAATGGTCTCCTTGTTACTCTATTTGTTTGAGAACCGCCCACAAATCGTCGACATGTTCTTACGGGGGAGAATTTATACAGAATTATTTAGTGGCATACTACCGTTACTGCAATTGTCGTCAACGGCAGTCCGGACCAACGTGTTGAAACTTACATCCATTCTTGCCCGTGCAATATGCCGAAAGCATTCATTGGAGTCCGCCAACAGCCTTCATCGCAATTGTGTGGATCAATGCGCTGCGGAAGACAAAATTTCGAGTACTTGTAAAGACTCGGTCGTACATTCGCCTTGGACGGGGCGCAATCGTCAACAGTTGAATTTGTTGCCGGACCTTGACGTGCTGTCGACGTTACTACTAGACTTTATTCGAGCAGATTCAATTCCCGCTGTTAATGTTCTTTTGAAAGACGGTGCCGACCTGGACTTCCCACATTCGTCTGACACCCAACAGTATGGTTTCGATAAACCACTCAACGTTGCGGTGGAGTGTGCATCGCTAGGGATGGTGCGACTGCTCCTGAAGCGAGGTGCTGACATTCACCAGGTGGGTATTGGTGGCACTGCTCTCCACGTCGCTGCTAGAACTGGCCGGTGCGATGTCGCTGCTTTTTTGCTGCAATGTGGTGCACGTGTGCATGCCAAAGATTGCGAAAATAATACCGTTCTTGATGTCGTAAACTTGGCCGACAAGACAACAATTGAGGACGGAACAGTGAAATCTGTTCCGTCTCCAATGAAAAAGCTGCTCGATTTTTATGGGTGCACTAGTAGCGTGCAAGATTATGACAGTGACTTGTCAGAGAACCATGAAGTGGCAGGGGGTAAAAGCCGCATGTGGTTCTGTGCATCAGATCAAGACGATGAATACATGGATGATGATGAGGACGATGAGATGGATGATGATGAGTTTGAAGGTGAAGAAGGCTACTACTTGGATTACGATGACGATGACGATGACGATGACGAAGGCTCCGATGACGCCAGCTGGCATAGTCAAGAGATGGGTGACCGCAGCGATGGGGACATGACAAACGACGAAGACGGCTTGTTGAGTGCGGTGCCACCATCGGGCAGCAGAGGTCGCCTTGACTCTGTTTCATCTGCGTCAAGTACAGAGACGAGGGGAGTTTTGCTAGATGCAGTCGGCAATACGTCCAGCCAGAATGTTGCGTCTAGGGAAAGCGACAAAGGTCGTACAGATGAAAGCACAGTGCTGAAACGTGATGCCTTTTGTGCCACAGCTGACGAGGTCTATGAGTTCAGTCTTGCCTTGACTCAATGTCTATTAGCAGTGCTACGTGACATGAATATTCAGAACTTGGAACGCTCTGTTGTCTCTACTATAGCATGTGTGCTGGAGATGGCACCGTCTCAGCTCATTCGCGCTTTGGAAGAGGCGGATGTGGTGCTCATCTTGGACACTGTACGTTTCTTGCTGCAAGGCAAAAAATTGCATCCAGCTGGCGCAGATGCTCCGGCCTGTTCCGTAAACCGGGCAGCTTCAGCGTCTCCACTGACGGTCACTCGCGGACGTGTGACTACTGCTGCTCACGATTTACCGTCATTTATTTTGGCGTTTCGTATCCTGGAGACTATGGTCAGGAAATCGTCCAAGGAATCTTGTATATTCCACGAAATTGAAAGGAGGGGAATCTGCGAGCAGATCGAGCTATTGAATGAGGCATCTACGTGCTGGGCCAGCTCGACGCACGGTGGTGGTTGTCTCCGTAGTCCCTGCAATACAATTTTTGGAAGAGCGTTAGATCTGCTGAAGTCACTTCGATCCGACATGCTTGAAAGTGGCATGCTCCATCTTCACAAGCTTCGAAATCTTGCGAGGCGGTTAAAGAAAGTTTCTAATGACGATTCTTTGTGCGAGAACGAACTCGTTTTGGTAGATTTGGTGGATCTTTTTGAGCAGTCAGACTCCATTACAGCGTACGAGTTCAAGCATTCAGAGCTTTTGCCTGCAATTGTTCAGTATATCTCCCCGCAAGGTGCACTTGACGAAAATCGAGCGTTAGCGATAATGCAAGCTTTTGAACGCTGTCCCTCTATGCTGAAGCATCTGATCGTACAGCTGCAGAGCATCATCACACAAGAAGAGACGTTTCCATTGATTTCTTATCATACTGGCAAAGGACGCGAGCTGTTTCCATTAACTAAGCAGCTAAATATCGCATTCGTGCGGCCAGGAGACAAAGCTGTTGGCGGTAAGCAGCACGGAAGCGCGAAAGAGAACTTGGTTCATTGTTCTCCGTTGACGCACTTTCAGTCATTTGAAAGGTCGCTTTTTAGGTGCACACCTGTGATCGATTCCGACCTGTCATTGCTGTACCTCAATTTAGTGGGGCATTGCATTCAGAAAGTGGTGGATGGAAAATGGAGAAAGTTTGTAGTTGTGGGATATGATGATACACGGTCTTACCACCTGGTCAAACCAGTTGGTGGATCTAGCGATGATCTAGCGGAGATGGTGCTCCATGACTCTCAGTGCAAGCTGCTTGGAAGCGTGAAAGTATACGAGAATATTGCACTGGACCTGAGGCTATATGGGCTGCCATGTGCTACAAACATTGGTCAGGCAATTGCTGGCAAGAAAAAACGAAAGAACAACAAGCGAAAACGGAAGTCGCCCACCCACAAACATCAGAATGAAAGCAACAGAACCTGCCTGGTGGAAGTGAAAAACGAAGGTGTGTTAACGAATATGAAATTACCAGGAGCTTGGTATGCAGCGATACTCGTAAATGATCCAGACGGGGTCTGCAAGTTCGAAGACCAAACATGTGAAGATATGCTTGCTGCGCAGAGCACACACTCGGTGAGATTGTTGGGTGAAAATCGAGTCCTTCACAATGTGCGAGCAGATTGCCTTCGTCCGCGGACACTTCAGCCTCAAGTGGGTAGCGTAGTTGAGGTGGACGGTGCTGTTGGAGAAGTCACCCGGATCTACGCTGACAACGACTCGTCGAGCGGTAATGCGAGTGTATTGCGTGACGTGAAAATTAGTTCCGGCATCGAAAAAAGTCGCGTGAAGACGGGCCGTGTCCGCTTTCCCGCACGCCCAATGACTACAGTGAGAAGTGCAGATGAGAGTGTACAGACGGAGGCGACGAGTATGGGACGGTTGTTTCCGCTTCGGAACGGCCTGTCATTGACAGGAATTGTTGGTGACCGCGTGTGGGTTTTGCCTTCTCTGGATTCAGCAAGTACAGATCTTTGTGTGGCTGGAACGATCAAGGGTTTTCCCACCAGGTCGGAATCTGTTTGCGAATCCGCTACCGTTCTTGTGGAAATCTCGTTTGGCTCAAACCCTTCTCTTATTGTAAGTGTGAATCAAGATCGAATACGTAATTTTGGAGTTGATGGCAGTACATTGTCCAGTTCCGGCTCCTCTCGAATTCTGGCAGCACTGCAGATTGCTTCAGGACGAGGCAGCTCGAGCGACAATGTCTCTGCTATTCAGCGGGCGTTTGAGAGAGCCGCAGGATCTTTACAGCAAAATCGATTTGGAGGCGGACAAGGGCCATCAGACATAGCAATGGACCAACTCCGTACCTTGGTCTCGCGTAACCCTGCATTTAGCAGAAACGCGCTCAGCGATGTTGACAGTATTGATCACGCGTCAACAAGCACATATAGTGCACAATCGAATAATGGGTCGAACGAGCCGATGGAGAACGAAGTGCAAGGGGAAGAAGGGGTAATACCGGCGCCTCCTTCCGTTTCCACTAAGACGTCCGACGAGGTAAATTTCGTCACAGAAAATTTTTCGCGTGGAGGCAGTTTGTCGTCCTTGCAATCGTATGTATCGCCCAAAGGCACGAAGCCCAAAATGATTTGCTCGCACTTGCCGAACGTAAGTTTGGTGGTTGGATTTCGTAAGTGTGACGCAAGCGTTGCAGTGCATGATCAGAATGCAGTCTCGTCCGAATGTGGTTTTGAGTATCCTGACCGAAGCACGTGGAGGCGAGACATACCTGCATCGTCAGCACTTATTCATCTGAACCCATCCACACAGCGGTTTGAGGCAACGCCTGTTGCTCGCGAGGCCATACTGCACGCGTTCAATTCGTTTAGCGGATCGGGTGCATCGCACAAGAAAAAGCGAAAGAAGCTTTCACCTGTTGCTCAACAGACTGCGCGGTATGGAGTTCCTTGGGACATTGAAAAGTTTATTGCTTTTATGTTAGCTGTGCGTGGCCCGACGACATACGGTCGCACCGGACCGATCGCGAAGTACTGCATGCTGTTTTCAAAGTTCGCCGACCCTGATGCGAATCGGAGACTGCTGAAAGCCGAGGGGTTCGTTGCTCTTGTGGTGCACGAATGTAAAGATGCAGCAAAATCGAAGCAAATGCTAAAATTTCTGCGATCACGAGGTTACATGGAAAAGCGGCAAGCTGTCACTAGCGGCGGTGACGATGAAACCGAGGAGAAGGGTGCGCCTAGCGACAACACCGAGACTGCACTTGTAAAAGAATATCGCACGGAAACACGACAGCCTATAGTGCTTCGTGGATTTCCTGCTGACCAAAATGTACTCAAATGTGTGGAGGATTTGCGTCGCGAATACCGTGCTCAATCTTGGAGTAATGCCCCTTGCACTGATGCGAATCCCACCGCCACCGTAGATGCATCCCTTCCGCCTTGGAAGCTGACGTATAAACTATACTGTGACTATCAGATCCAATGGGAGGGCCAGTCTTCTTCAGAGACGAGCGCATCGAGTACGGTGAGCTCTAGCACCGAATCACTGGCCCCTTTATCAGCCATAGCGTCCAAATTGCCAGCGCGATTATTATCCTACGGTATTGCTACGCTTGACAGCGATGACGCTACGGAAGACTTGCGGTGGCTACATTGCATCACCACTTTAGAAGCTGGCAGTGGTGGTAACGGAATTAGCGTGCCTGATACGCTGGCAAGCGCGATGCGCCTGCTCCGATATTTATTTCAATTTCGTGCGGATACTACATTGCGAGATGAAGCGCTGTGGACGAGCCCCCGATTGTACAATAAGCTTGAGACACAGATGCAAGATGTGCTCTCTATGTGTAGTGGTATTTATCCGTCCTGGTGCGATGCGCTAGTGACCCATTGTAAGTTTTTCTTTCCGCGCGATCTACGAGAAAAATTGTTTCGCTCTACATCATTTGGCTGCACCCGCTCACTGCACTGGTTCCGCAATCGGCTGAGCAGCGAGGAAGGCTCAGCCGACTCTGGAATGTCGTCAATGGTAGGGGGCGGTATTCTTAACCAAGAGATCTCCATATCGCCTGTTCCGAAAGAACGCGTCAAAGTGTATCGTGACAATATTCTACAGTCTGCGGAGGCAGTGATGAAAATGCACGCAAAGCGGAAAGCTGTCTTGGACGTTGTATTTGTTGGCGAGAAGGGCTACGGCTCTGGAGTGACGGCAGCATTCTACTCAACAGTAGCCCACGCGCTTCAGGTGGTTCCAGAAACCAAGACGGACCGATTATGGATACCTGGTGAGGACGACGAGGCTGACATGTTGCCCGGAGTTGATATTAGTGGCATCGCCGTCGACACGCCAGTCATTCGTCACTCCAACGGTTTGTTCCCGTATCCTCACCGCAGATCAAGCCCGAAGCTCGTGGAACGTTTTTGTACGATGGGTAGACTCGCAGGCAAAGCACTAATGGACGATCACCTGCTCCCGTTGCCGTTGTCACCGCAGTTCCTTAAGCTTGTGGTTGGCGAAAGTTTCGGACTGGAAGATCTAGGCGACATCTTTTTGAGTCACGGTCGAATCGTGCATTCGATGTACAAAGCTTCCCGAAAGCTCGGCACAGGAGAACAGAATGTCCAAATCGACAACCTTGACATCCAGAGCTGGTTGAGCGCCGTTGGGTTCACGTTTATTGATCCATTTTCGCAGGAGCCTCTTGTTGCTGGTGGGGAAGATATCGATGTGACCCCGAGCAACTTGATACTATACGTACGGGCTGTGCTGGAACTGTGGCTTGACTCGGGTATTCGTTCGCAGGTACTGGCGTTCCGTGAAGGCATTAGTGAGGTACTTCCTCTAGAAAAATTGCGGTTGCTGTTCGTTCCCGAGTTGCTATCGATGTTATGCGGTGAAAAAGATATTGAGTGGAATGTGGACTCCTTGATGAAAGACACAAAGCTCGCGCATGGATACACAAAGGATAGCCAGCCTGTGCAATTTTTCTTTGAAGTACTGGAGCAAATGCCAGCCACTGAGCGACGAACGTTCCTGCTCTATGCGACAGGCTGCCCGAATTTACCTCCTGGAGGCTTCCCAGCGCTCAAGCCGCCATTCGAAGTCGTCCGCCGAGTTGTTGATATTGCAAATGTCGATCTTGCGCTGCCATTTGCCCGTACATGCACCAATACGCTGCACTTGCCAGCGTATTCCAGCAGAGCTGTGCTCGCGAAGCAAATGGCATTCGCTATTGCCAACAGCCGCGGCGTTATCGATCGAGACTGAGTTGGCATAGAGAGGACTATTGCTTGTGGGATGGGTATGTCATTTTCTTCACTCGATCAGTCGAAGCAGCGGAAGTAGTAGATGTTAATGATTTCAACGTGTATGCCAAGTTTTACTTTCGTGAACTGGAGCATGTCATCAGTACTCGACGAATGATGTACATGTATTCAAAGCTGACTCGGATCAACACCTACCTACTGAAGCTCTTGAACACCGGCTTTGCGATGTGATGACGCTTACACCTCGTCTACAATTCATGACCCCGGAGACTTCACTACTCTTTCCTTACCACGGTGCAAGGACTGTAGTAAAGCTGCCTCAAGTGACCCCCTGCCTCTGTTCCAAACACTTGCTAGAGCTCTCTCTACATGTCGTCACTTTTTCTAGCATCAACTCGATTCAAATCCGATTGTTTTCATACTTGTTCCAATATAAATGGTTCGTGGATGCATACGTGCTATGGCGGCAGCAGTACGGACGACGGTACCGTGTCAGCTATTACAATAAACGTTTCGATACAAGGCACACTTGTGTTCTGCGACGTTCGAAAATCTCGTCATGGAGCATATTAGTGTACCCCTCGCACTCGACGGTTACAAACCATCACAACAGTCACTAAAACAAGGGTCCGCTTTCATCTCATCGGAGTACATCAATTACGTGCGATCATTTCGAGACAATGTCGTTCTTCGGGTACCGGAGCTCCTCGAGCAGAGCTCCCGTGCAGGAGACGCATCTGAGCGAGCTCGAGCGACTGCAAGTGATTCAGTCAATCGATTCTCGTTTCTTCTCGTCACTTGTTATCGACCCGGGCGCTTCTCTTACACTCTGGTGGTGCTTGTGGACTGCAGACGAGGACGTCAGCTCGCGAGTCTCGTGCGCGCTGGAGGTCGAGCCAAGAACCACCAGCAAACGACCTTTGAAGTGCCGGTAACCGACACACCACGCGGTTTATTGACTCTCGAATTGTATGGTGCTTTGAAGTGCTGCTAAAACGAAGTGTTAAAACGACGAAAAAGGGCTGAAACAGATGAAAAAGATGCTATAATCTGATGCGAGCGTATGTTTTTATTATGTGCAGACACCTACCGTCGGAATTTCCAGTGAAAGTTCCGCAGCTTAAGGTGAAATTTGCAAAAGGTTGTGCACGAATTGGGATGATATGATGTTGATCTGTTGAAGTTGGTGGGATTTCAGACGTCGATACCGGTGCATCATCGGTGGGTCGACACGGTAGGGAATGTGCATGGCCACCCGGATCTGAGCAAGTGGACGGCGCACTCGGATCTTGGACGGATTGTGACGGAGATTGTCACGGAGCTGCGATCTGTAGTGAGTCAGATGTCAGCAAGCAAGTCGCTGGTGTCTTCATCCAGGAGTAGTTCGTCAGCGTCGACAGCATCGACTGCGTCGTTGTCGCAGTACAGAGCGCCATCGAGTAAGCAGCCTCCACAACAGCCAGTGCAACAACAGCCGGATGCCAGCAAGATACAGCGCACGCAGATGCCAGTGGTCCCTGTGGTGTTTTCGGAACTGGACGACCTTTCGTACGTCTGCAACGAGTGCTGGTCAACAAGTGGCGGGGGGGGGGGTAGAGCGTGCTGACGATTGTTTTGTTGCTTTTTTCGATGTATGTAGAGTTGACCAGCTTGAGGAATTGAACACGGACAGACACTTGCTCAACAAGTTTGTTAGAGATTTACGATTGGTAACGGAGTTTACCAAGCTGAGGGATGAAGTGCTGCACTGCAACATGGACATCGCAAACACAACTCTTGGCTACGAGAGCGAGCTGCGTGACCTACAAGCAGTGGTAGCGACTCAACGAACCGAGCTACATGCTGCTCAGCAAGCACTAGCTGAGAAACAAGCACGACGGCAGCGAATCATGGCGGTACGTGCGTTTGTTCCGCATTCTACCCCAACTCGTCCGCTCGCTTTTCCTCCTAACACTCACAACCTTCGTCATCCAGCGCCACCGACCCGATGCACTACTGGAACAACTCGCAGCAGCAACAAAAGCCATGGACAACACCACCGACGAGCTTGCCTCGCAGTTTGTCCAGGGCGACATGGACGTGGCACGCTTTCTTGCTACGTACATGCCCCAGCGCAACGTGTACCACGAGCGTACGCTCAAGCTCGCCCATGTGACGAACCAGCAGCAGTAGTAGCAGCAACAGCAACACTAAAGCAGCAACACAAGCACACACGCACATGAGCAGCAAGACACACTGAGAGAATGAAGAAACAACAAGCAAACAATCCACACAGGCAAGCCAACCAATGGACAAACGAGCGAACGTACACGGATACACCTCAACTCCTCAAGCAGTTCACTGTATGGACCACCCCCAAGCTCATTCTACTGCTTCAATCCGCCCATTCCGTGCCTTTTTCCAGCACCTCCACACTATCCTGTTAATTACGAAACTGCCAGTCCTGCCGACACATGGGACAGTGCTGACGCATGGACTGCAGCGACTCGAGCCACTTGACGAGGCAGTGCATGTGGAAAGCGTGGTGGCACGCGCCCCACACGGGCGGACAGCCATCCCCCGGCATCCTGCAGTCTGGACAGCACGCTTCGAACGCATAGCGACAGATGCCGCAACACTCTTCGTCGACGCCCCACGTCCACGTCGCGACGCCGTGCCAGCGCTTGATCGTCACCTTCATGGAGCTACTCGCTCCGTCTGTTTTGTACCGCTATCCTCGTCCGTCGTGTCTGATTCGTCCGTTCGGGTTTATTGTGGCCAATGGAAACACGTTGCACACAAAAGCGCACCGAACACCTCGATCTATGTGCACCACACAGCACACACACACAAAAACACTCGCAATATTGACCGCCTGCGCAAACGTGATGGCTACATCTCGGCCGTCGCGGCGGCGGCTGCTGCTGCCGGCGCTAGCGCTCTCGAGCGTCCTGCTCACGACGACGTTCATCGTCGACCTGACTACGACCACGACGCTGCAATCGCAATGCGACATGACGTGGTCCTGGCCCGTCTACTCGCCCGTGACGTGGCGCTCGAGTGGCCCGCTTTTGCACCATCGAAAGTACCGTCTCTATCGCGTCCAGATGAAGTTGGCACGCGAGCCATTGGCTGGTGTGCCCGTCTTATTTGTGCCAGGCCATGTCGGCAGTTACAAGCAAGCCCGGTCTTTGTCCCGCCATTTATGGGACATGAATGAAGAGCTCTTTGACGTGTTTGCTCTGGAATTCAAGGAAGAGCCCACGGGACTCAATGGCAACTTTGTTGCGGACCAAGCTTCGTTTCTGAACGACGCCGTGCGCGCTATTCTTCAAGAGTACCGCACGAGACGCAAGACCAAGAAGATCGAGGGAGAGCAAGGCCTGAAGCGAGGGAGACCAGAGAGTGTCGTGGTGGTAGCTCACTCTATGGGTGGCATCGTGGCTCGGACAGCTGAATTGCTGCCGAATTACAAGCGACGCTCGATCCAACATGTTGTGGCACTTGGTGTGCCGTATGAGAAGCCGTCGTTCCCGTTTGACGCCGAGATGAATGCCGTGTACGACAGAATGCACGCCATGAAAAAGAGAGACGACGAGGTGGTTTATGTGTCCATTGCTGGTGGACACAAGGATACACTGGTGCAGACGTCGTGGACGAGTGTGGATACCGTGGCAGACCCTTCGCGGGCCTTTGCAGTGTTGGCATCGGCGATCCCAACAGTGGGAACGCCGGTAGACCATTTCTGCTTGTTGTGGTGTCATCAGCTGATGAAAGTTGTTGCCCAGAGCTTGTATGAGGTCGTGGATCTTGAGACGAGAAAGCTATTGAGCAGTCCGAGTGCGCGGCTTGCGATTGCAAAGAAAGTGTTGTTTGGAAAAGGAAATGCTGAACAGGGCGTGGAGATCGAGACTAACGTGAACGTCTCGTCGCATCGGACGTATGTGCAGAATGGATACTATCCTGGAGAGTACACTGGATATGCGCTGTTACTCCCGCCGTTCTTGGCCAAGCTGCTGCGTACTAAGCTCATGACGGTGTTCGTGATTATGTACGTTTTGGCGCTGCAAATTTTCTGCGCGCAAGTCTCGCAGTGGCAGTCCCGCTTTGATTTGCAGTCAATGTCTTCCTCCGACGAGCCCCGCCGCGAGAACTTTCCCTCGTTTACATCGATGCTGCACCCAGCAGCGCACGCCCCTGCCTTTCTCAAGAACGTCGTGACGTATTTCTCGAGCAAGGCATTTACCATCGGCTCGAGAAAGGTTGCGACGGCAGTCATTGCTGTGCTCACGCTGACTGTGACAGCTTGGGCGCTTTACGTTTACTATGGCGGCCAGGATGAACAGGCAACGAACAGTCTGATTGCTTCGATGACAACGGTCGCAGAGTTTGCCATTCTGTATGCTTACGCGCTAGGCTTGCTGTACGCGGTGACGACGTTATTTTCATTGCTGCATGGCTTTGTCGTGTCGCCAGTTATGTCCACACTCAGCAATGTGGCTGCTCGACTGAAGGTTCGCACCTGGATGATAGTCGTCGTCGTCCACGCTATCGCACAGCTTTTGGGACACTTTACCGACACATTGTCATGGAATTCGTCCCGTGTCTTGGCACTGTTGATACTGTCGTCTTTCATAGTGTTTGTCATGTACACACTGGCATTGAGTGGAGGTGATTGCGGAACGTCGGACCAGCAGCGTATGCAACGTTCGCTTTTCGCTGTACTATGGCTATCCATTTTCTCCTGGGTAGGAAAAGTGGCTTACTTTGCTGAGGTCGCGCGTTTGCCGCCGCTAGAGCTTTCAAACAGCCTTTTGATGGAAAGTGGAGTATACGTTGTCATTTTGAGTATGTACACGTACATTATCCATTTGTCGCTCAACAGTATGATTCCGCTGCCTCCGACGGCGTTCTTCGGTGCCTCGTCAGGACAAGATGCAGCATCCATTTACGGAATGTCATCAAGTAGTCCAGCAAGCAGTGTCAAGATCACTGCTGAGAACTGCCCAAAGTGTGTTTTCGAGGATGGCGGTCCCGGAGCTGTATTTGTTAAGTACAGTGACAAGACGACGCACCGCATTGCGGCAGGTGGACCTGGTGGAGCAGTGTTCGTTGGACCAACGTTTCGTGTCGTTTCGTGTGATTGTATGTACCGGTTCAAGACTTCGCGAGACTTCTGTGACTTCTGCGTTCGATCGTGTCGATTGTGCGGAGGCGGAAATGGGAACTTCCAAGAGGCCGCCAAGTACAAGGCGTTTCTGGAAGAGAGCAAGGTAGATGTGGCAATGCATGCCATCGTGCCGATGACTTTCCAGATTTGTGCTGCTGTCCAAGTCATCTACGGCTTGGACCGAGCCCATATGTCGTTCTACCTCGCGCCCATGTGTGCTCTGGCATTAGTCACGTATCACGTCTTGCTTCGCCATCCCATCGAGGCTCGACGCACCAAGAACAAGCAGCGCAAAAAGGCGACAAAGAAGGGAAAGTCTCCAAGTGTGTCCAAGCACAAGCCGACCACAGCTGCCACCGACGTACCATCCGCATCTTCTGCTGCGACAAGCAATGAGACCGCTCCTCGCAAGAAAAAGAAAAGCGGACGCAAATCGAGAACGTCGTTTACTTCGGTTGCATCGCCGCCAAAAGAGAAGGATTCTACGTCGTCCTAGAACGCCTTCTATCCACTCAGAGATGTCCCACGGCTAATACTTAGATGCACTCATTCGTGCACACGTTTGTCGCCTCACTTGTTCTTCTTGGCCTTGACGTCCTTGCCATATGTCACGCTGCAAAACTTTGCGTTGATGTGATATTTGGCCTCCAGATGTTCCAAGACCTCGTTGACCATCTGGCCATGGATTTGAATCTCTTCGCACAAGCTCTTGTCTTCAGATGGCCGCACTGCAGCGCTACAGCCCCATTTCTTTTGCACTTCTTTAGCAAACGCGGCACCTTCGATGCCAAACTGCTGATAGCACGCAATGGACGTTACCGTCGTGTTGTTTCGGCGCTTCAGCTTTTTAGCTAGAATCATGATCGGACGGAAACTTCCGCCACGGAACTTAACTGCATGCGTCGGAAAAAGCTTGATTCGGTGGTAATGCGTACACTTGGACAGCAGAAGGTTGAAAATTTCCTGTCGGGAGAGGCGCTCGTTATACCCGCCAACAGGTGCTTTCTTGCTATAGAGAGCATCCGTGAGGAGACCGTTTAGTCGCACAAACTTCTGGTTTTCAGCGTCAACCAGTCCTTGACTTTCAACATATAGAGTCACCAGGTCGCGAACCTCCACACGCGAATAGTACTTTTGAACCGGTTTGTCAACAGAAGCGACGGGTAAAATTGGCCGGAGCAACGTTCTCAGCGCAGGTGACAGGCCGAAACTCTCTTCGACCTCGGGTGCAGACTGACCAGGAGCAAAAGCGTGCACACCTGCCGCTTTGTCAGCAGTGGCCTGTTCTTTCTGCTGCACTTCTTCAGCGGTCTCGTACACTTCGTGCGACAGCACATCCCTGCAACAGATCAAACATTAGCGTCAACAAGAGCAGCCTTCAGACAACACAACAGCGTCATCACGTACCGATGGCGTCGAGAGATCGTTGTAATTGACATCACTCCATCGTTATCAACGACAGTCAGCAGTTCATGCGCTTCCATCCCTTTCAAGTACACCGACAGCTTCTTGAACGAGCTCAGCTTGATGTTCAGCAAGACGCCAGCTCGACGACACGGCAAGAGCACGTTGGCATGAAACGAGCTCGCCAGCATCGGCAGATCTTTCTCACGAACCCGTGAAGTCCTCAGTGCTTGCAGCAAAGTCTCGACATAGTACCGATCCATCTGCTCCTTCGTCACTTTCTCCTTCTTCTCCTCCATCTCCTCCTCCTCATTTACCTGCACTTCGTCTTCTACCCCATCCGACATCCCACCACCAGCGTCACCACCTCGTATACCTCGTCCCTCCTGCTTCTCCTCACCCTCCGATTGTCCTTTCTGTCCCCCAATAGACACGACTTGGTCTCCTAGAAACCCTTCATTTGGCAGCGTTTGCGGCCCCATTTGCCACAACGCGTCGCCCACCACATGCCACAGCTTGAGCGCTCGTCCCTTCTTGCCACTGCGTTCCACGTCGGCTGCATCCACGAGCACCTCCCCCACTGCAATAGCGCAGGGATTTCCTTGCACATAAACAGCTCGCAGCTCTCCCTTTCGCAGCGTCTGCAGCGCTTCTTGCGATGGAAAAACGACGCCCGGCAGCATCACGTCCGCTCCACGCAGCACAAACGTACTTACTGGTACGTGCACCGTCAGACGAGGCAGCAGAGCTGGTGCTTGCCAGAGTGCATATACACTAAAACAGTACTCTCCTTTCCCTGTCATATCGAATATCAGCGGCGCTTTAGTCGTCTCTGAAGTAAACACAACGACCCGAGACGGCGCTTGGAAACGGATCTTCTGGACAACGGTCTTGGGCGGTAGCAATTGCTTCAGGTTAGGGTCATCAGGACCGTCTAGAGAGTCAGGGAAGCACGTAGCGACGTCGCGGCGCAGCGTCTTGACGTCCTTGTTCTTGAGCAGCACATTCCCGCTCACCTTGGCAGGCTTGGCGAACATGAGGAAGTGAGAGGCATTGGGCTGCACTGATTGGCTGTTGGAGTTTTCAGCGAATCAGAAGCGGTGGGTTTCGTCAGTGGACCCGTCCGTTCGTGCGGTTGTTACTTCACAGTAGCGTTTCGATTTAGAAACTACGCGCGGATCATAATTACCGTCGTGCTCTATTTGATTCGCGGTGGTGTTAAATACTCAGCTCGGGTCGCTGGTTTCAAAGTTGACGTAACAAGAAGTATCCGCGAGCTCGAGCTCGATATTCTCGTCAATACGTGCAATCGAAGTAGTGCCTCGAACTGTTGCAGTCGCTGCTGCTTTCGTGTCATCCCAATTGCCACTGATACTATAGTCTTCAAAATCGTCCGTCTCGTCGAAAAAAGGTTCGACCAACTCGACGTCGTGGAACAGGAGCTTGCCCGTGGAAATGCGCTCCTCAGCGATCGAGAGCCACTTCTTACTGCGTCGAAAGCGACGCTTTTGACGGCAAGCTGGATTGATAAAACCACGGCCGAGTCGTCGACAACCACATGCTGGCAACTCGGTGCTCGCTCGATGACAGGCGGTGGGCACGCTCTGTCTATTCGCTGCAGGCGGTGAAAAGCAGCGAGTCGCTACTGGGGAACTTGCTGCTCGCTGGCCATGGTCACCACTTGAGATATGGCGGTGCCGCCGGTCGAAAAAAGTTGGTACCGGGTCATCGATATTATCATTGGAGCTGCGACTGTCTTTGGAGGTCCCAGAAGTTGTGTCGGGAGATGCTGGTGCATACAATCCCAGCACATCAGCATCAAAGTAAAACAACTCGGACGTCTTGCGGAATGACACGCGGTGCTGAGAGTGGTGTAAGAGACCAGCACTCATCAATGAGTTGCCCATACGATAAGCCTCGGATGCCGAGTCCACAAAGTCAAGCTCGACCATACGCTGCATGATATGCTGACCTTTAACCATGGATGGTGTAGACGGTGTCCCAGTGCAATCGAGGGCTGTAACAAGACGCAACGCAGTCGGAGCGCTGACTTCTTGCTGAAGTGTTTCCAGCGCTGTGAGAATGTACGCCGCGGACGGTCGACGTTCCGGCTGCGAATGCCACGCATCAGTCATCAGTCGATGTAGTTCTGGATGAAGAGATGGACTGAGCGGAGGCCGTTCACCGTCAAGCACACTATCAAATACCTGAAGGTGACTGCGAGTAGCATCCGGGTACTTCGGGACGAGCGGATGCACAATGTCCCACAGCGTGATAGCAAGCGAGTAGATATCCGCCGCTTCGCCATAGACAGCAGTGCCTGCCTTGCCCTCAATCAGCTCAGGAGCCATATAATCTGCTGTACCACGGACAGTCATTGTATTTCGCCCACGGTCACGTCCCAGCAGGGACGGTGATGATGTGACTTGAGCAGGCGCGTTTGGCGTCACCGCTCCCATACACGCGTCTTCAACAAACATGGTCGACGATGCTCCAACGGTCGCCGCTGCCACTGAGTGATCTTCAGTCCCATTATTTGCCCTTTTACCTATATGTTCCGTCGGCACACTGCGCGACTCACCAAAGTCGGTGAGTTTGCAAGTGCCGTAATAGTCCACCATGAAGTTCGATGGCTTGAGGTCGCGATGCAAGAAAGCTGGTGTAAAGCTGTGCATGTATACGACTGCACGAGTAGCATCAATCATGTAATTCAAATCAATCAGTAGCTGCTGGCGTTGCTGCCAACCCTGAGAAACCACATCTTGTTCGCGCTCATTGCTTCGGCTTCGTTGGTGGAGTAATCGCATCCTAGCACTAGTGCGCGTGACTTCTTCAAGCGAAGCTCGACAGAGTTCCGACACGAGACACACGGTCGGCGGACACACGCACATTCCGTAGAACCGGACGATATTGGGATGAAGTAACGCTCCGGACAACGCTGCTTCGTGAGAAAACGCAGCTACAACATCCTCGCAAAGGACTCGCGGTGTGTACACTTTGATAGCAACCGGGATCTTCGAGTGGAGCGTGCCTCGGAACACGACAGCACTAGCACCTGCACCGATCTTTCGCTGAAGTTCCAAATAAGCGAAATCAATGATTTGTTTTCGGTGCATTTCAATCAAGAGATGCAGTCCTCGCGACGATACGCGTTCATGGAGGTAGTGATACTTCTGTCGAAAGAGCGATTGCAAGTGGACCGCACGTTTACCAAGTCCGCGCCAATGTGCCGTATCGGCTTTCAAAACTCTCCAAATAACCACTGGAACCAACGAGCCCCAGAAGATACTCATGAGCGTCACAACGAACGAAGCGACGGCGAAATCTTCACCGAGGTAGTACAGCTCCGTATACGTCGCCCGCATGATATAATACACGCCTACAAACACGGCATATTCCCGCAACGTCTTGCGACTAGCTCTCTCAGATGGCCGCAAACATATCCACTCCAGTACAACCAGCGGCAACGATCCCGTTACTATGATTACATAATGTGCTGTCTCGACTGTTGCCGTCAGATCCACGATCCACACAATAGGGATATTGTACACTGCAAGCAAGAGCGAGCACATGGCCGCTCGAATCAACGCGCGCGTTGTCACTGCTCGTTGTTGAAGATACAGCACCGGTAAAGCAATAACAAACAGGCGTCCACTGTAGTAGACCTCGGCCTTCACACGATTCTGATGGGCCCAATAGGGACCATTAGATACCAACAACGTGAAGCAAATCGTATAAACGAGCGACACGGCAGTAAGGAGCCACAGCAGTGGCTGGAATGCTGGTAGAAGCACTCGACGTGCAGCTCGTGTGTCCCCTCTCAAAGCGCTGGAGCGATAGTGACGCATGTAGACCACGAGACACGTACAGAGGGCAAAGATGATGCCATAACCCAGTGCGATAGTTCCCAAGATCATTCGGACATGCAGGAGCGACGACATCGCGAGCGTCCAGGCCAGTCCAGTCCAGTCCAGTGGACACGTCCCAGCACTTGAAATGGAGGGTGCAGGTCAAAACGAGCGGCGGCTTCCCCTTCCCTTCAAACGGCCATCTGTCCGTCCTTTGCTTTCACGACATCGGTCATTCATTCGTTCATTCATTCGTTCGGTCAGTCGTCCGTATGTTTATTCGGATTAGAAAAAGACCACAGCGGGGCCAATCGTCGAGCTTGGTGCTGAACTCATCGAGAACCCCGGTGGGGATACCCAAGGGACCTGACCTGGCGAAAGTGGAGAGGAGGGGGAGGCTCGATCGTTAAGTCCGAGCTCCTTGTTGTCTGTCTGTGGCTCGGGAGTGTAGGTAAGCCGTCTCTTTTTTGCGTTTCGGCTTCGTTTTTGTTCGCTTGTCTCAGAAGCACGAGTCGCGGAAGCTTCTTGTCCCGACTTTGGCCATGCCGTGGATTATTGAGGTTTGACAGGTGGATTGTTGACTCGGAAAGTGGGAGTTGGACACACGGCAAAGGCGCAGGTGCACGCGCTCGAGAACGATAATCGTCACGTGGGTTCCACGTACGTATTTGGTCGGAACGGGCGCTGGCACGTGTTTGGATCTGGAATGGAAACAAGGGACTGATAGCGGATGGGGTTGTAAACATGTGCTGCCGCTTTTTGGGGCCGTGCTGAGGAAAAGCTGAAGCTACCGTAGAGAAGAGGGACAATGTTGCGGAGAAGGCTGGTGGGTGAAGAGGACGGTCGGGTGAGGTCATGAATAGCGTGAATGGGGGAAATACGAGTGTGTGTACAAAGGGGTTTAGTTGCCGCGGGTGGACGGAAGCAGAAGTGTTACAGAGTACAACATCAGAAGGATCCACACTATCTGTACCCAGCAATGGTACGTATCGCTTTCGCGATTTGTTGCTGGCCTGTGATGTAGCTAAGTGGATGCATTGCTCTACTTGGATCGGCTAGATTTGGATGAGAATCAACGACGTGGATCGCGTGTTGAAAAGTAGCATGGCTGCGAATAGTCGCTTCTCAGCTCTTCTGAACGCCGTCAGCGATACGCTATCGCGACACCATGGTGGTCATTGAGTCTTCTACGTGGAAGCCAACGGAATACATTTTTACAGGCCGGAAGGCTGACATCTGATGGCATGCTTGGAGTAGCCGTGTCAACAGCGGAGATAGTGTTTCGTCAACTGCGCACACCGACACGGACACCAGTCGCTTCACCGTCAGGCGATGTATAAGGGATGATGTGTTGGCCAATGCGTCCGTTTTCTTCTCGGTGTCATCAAAACACGGGGAAAATGCGACGATAGGATGCAACTTTGACATCCTGCGACTCAAGTGCAAGCGTTCAATATACATCACATTTTTCCAACAGCAGTGTGGTGACTCGACGGCATTTCCATGTCATGTCGCCTGACTTGCTTACGTACCGAAGTGATGCTAGCAAAGGTGAAGGTGCTTGATTCTTCGCCCTGGATCGCGCAATGAATACCGCTCGATCGGGTGTATTGAGTATAATCTTCAAGCCTGCTGCGATGGCTTTGAACCTTCATCTGGACATAGCTGCGATATACTGCGAGCTTTATTGGAGATCTGTTCCACCAACGTGTACGTACGCAGGTACATTGTTTAACGTGGCCACGGAACTAGGTTCACGTACAGTTCAATCCCATTCATGCGCTGCTACAGTCTACCGCAAGGGAATTATCACCTGCCGCCTAGCATCACTGTCAGCACACGGATAGATCGATCGTCTTAGTATGGTTCAATCCAACTTACAAACGAACAGAGTTGAGGAAACAAAGGCGTCGAGAAATATCACCGAGAGAGCATGACAATACGCCAGTCGTTGCATTTTGTCAATGTAGACATTCACCCGCTTTCATTACGACTATGCAGTGCGTTCGTATTGGTACTACAAGCAGCTGCTGTCCTGCCGCGGTCCCGAAGAAGTCAGCACTTGGGTGGAGCCGCTAGCGAGTGTACCACTATTTCGTGTCCTGGGTTGCATTCCCCTAATGTCAACGGATCTAGCGTCGGTTCTATGTCCTTCTTTTCCGAAAAGGCTCCGAGAGCTGCAACCAACAGCTATCTCGGAATAGACTGAGGATTGTAGGAGCGGCCTATCGTAGGAAATGAGTCGTTTGTGGAAGCTTGGCCTGCACAATTCAGCGTTATTGTTGAATACAGTCGCAGCATGACCAACCGTTCGTCGAAGTGCTCGACAATGTGCTGGGCGTTGCATGAACTTGCGGACGTGGATTTACATTTACATCGTTACTAGCTCTTCGCTTCGATTGGAGATACTGACGGATGACATTTCGGTGAAGACACGTACTGCAGCTTCCTGGCTCTCTAAAAGTCGCTGTGCTGGACGAGCGATACCAGGAACCGGGGCACACTCTTTACGCAGTTGCACCTTGTGTTTGCTATTTCACTCGTGCAATTCCAGTGATAAACAAACGACAAAAATGCGACTCCTCAACCGCCTAACTCTTATGACAATTCGGAGATAAACGCAGTTCATCACGAACAGAGCGTTTACGAGCACTCCATCGTTTGGTGAAGAGAGATAGTCAATGTTGCGTCGCCTCTTCGATTATACACACTCACGTTGTTTCCCACTAGTGCACGAGCTGGTTACTCCATGCACGTGAGAAGGATAAACGACCTTATCAGGTCCAGCGAATGCATATTCGACGTGAACACGCACCTTCAACATCATTCAAACATATTAATCGTCACCCTTTCGCTCGTGAATCCAAGCTTTAGCAACCTTAGTCTGTAAATTAGAAACAAGCGCACAGCTTCGTGACTACGACATCGGGGAATAGTATACACAACCTAACGGATGCTCATGACACTCGACAGTGACGAACTGCTCAGCTCAACAGTGCTCGAGCCGGCTTTCCGCGCTTTACGGTTGGGACCGAACACCTTCCAAAATCGCAATGTTTCATCGGCAGCGCCAGACACAACGGTCTCACCATCAGGTGACGGCGCTAAGTGCAGCACGCGAGATGTATGACCTGTAAGCTCCTTCACCTTGGCCATGCTCGGATACTTCCACAAGCACAGTTCATTCTGTGAGTACCCATGCGACGACAAGAGCTCCTTCTCTGTCGCTGACCACAGCAGTGAGCACACCTGAGAGCCTGTATCGACGCTATTCAACATTGCACCATTCGTCGTGTTCCAAAACTTGATCGTGCGATCTGCCGTACCACCACCCGTAGCGAGTAGGTTACGCTCCCATGGGCACCATGCAATTGCTTTCACTGCAGCCGTGTGCTGTTCTAACCGGTGAGCAGGGGTTTGCACACTGCGGCTACTGCCAATGCTACTAGCCTTCCACAAACACAGTGCATTGTCATTGCCACCGGAAGCCAACATGGTGCCATCAGGAGACCACTGCAGCCCACAAACCTCCTGCTCATGACTCGTCAGTGTTGACAGCTGATGTTGCCGCGCTCGAACATCGTGGTGAATGATACTGCTGTCACGCGAACCTGACGAAAGCACATAACTATTCCAAGCCAGTGCGCCTACACGCGACGAGTGTCCGTTCATTGTTCGAACTTGGCGCGATGCAGTGACATCCCACAGCTGCACGACCGACTCGCTCGTTCCAATAGCCAAATGAGCCGAGCCACCTGCAGCATCACTCCATTGCACCGAGCTCACGTACTCGTCTCCTTCCAAAGCCATGAGTTCATTGATCTCGCTAGTCGCAGCGTTCCAGAGGTAGACACACTGGCCCAGTGCCACCGCCAAGATATTGTTGGCTCCCCACGACAGCAAGTTCAGGTAGTAGTCGTTCATCAACTCGGGTGCATCCAGCACCTTAATTGGTGCCGACGGGACATGACGGTTCAGTTTCTTGGCAGCAGAAGCAGGCACAACAGTCACTTTATTGTGAGAAAACCTCGCCTGAAGCGTAGACTTGAACGAGTCGGGCGGAGCTACCGCCGGTTTGTCCTTTGTAAACTTGAGAATCTTGTGGTTCGAGTCGTCTTCTTTGCCCAGCAAAGCGCTGGCTAGTCTCCTCTTGTAAATCTGCTTCTCCTCTTCCTCAGCGGCAGTGCTCGAGGCTGCACGCGCGCCTGAGCGACTGGGACTGCTCTTCTGTCTGCTCTTAGTAACTGCCTCAATAGCTGCTGCCGTCTCGGGCGAATTGCACTGCGCGAGGTCTAGATTCATGGCGCTCCGTGTGGGAATAAAGCGGTCTGAAGCCTACATCCACAATAACAACAAACAAATCACACAATAAAATCATCAGCATGACAATACATAACAATGAATAATCATAGTAATAATAATAATAATAATAATAATAATAATAAATCATAATAATAAACATCAAAATACAGTCATTTCGACACAGTTTAAGACAGCAAAAAACACATGAGAGTATAACTGACGCTCTTTTTGCTGCTGGTGATACAATTCGATCCACATGCGACGTCCTTTCTGCTCTTTTTGGCGCTTGAAACGCCTTTTGTAGGACCGCTTGACGGCTTGGAAGCATTCGACTCGGACGCATCGTGCGAGCGCTTGCGGGAGTCGCTGCGGCTGGGAGACGAGCGCATCAGGAGGGAGGACGAGGGTACGCGCTCGAGGCGTCGTGTTTCGGTGCGGGCGCTCGCCATAGCAGTCGCGTGAGGTCCAGAAGGGAAGGATGGACGAGGTGGACGGACTGGCGGCAGAAGGTGAGGGATCCGAGGGACGCGGGGTGGTCTGTAAACCGAGGTAAGGTTTGGAAAACTCGAGGCATCGAGTCGGTGCTGTTTCGAAAAAAAGTCACTCGATCCAGGGCCTCTCCTTGATGGAAAAGAACCATTCGAACATTTGAAAATTGACTTGATTTGACCGGATGTTTGTGTACACCACATAAACTGACTTTGTCCACGGATGGTGTGGTGCACGTCAGCGACGACGAGACAGCATTCTAGAACGCTGGTTGCCACGGTCCGTCCGTCCGATGAACGTCACTAGAGGCCCAAACGCTTACTTAGCACTTACTTACTCGTGCACGTGTCGACATCATGGACAACAATCCAGTCATGCCCGACCCTGCCGACATCTCCGCGCTGCAGTCGAACATCAAGACGAAGGGCAAGAACAGCTACTACTACGCACACAAGCAGCGTGAGAACGTCGAGATCCACGAGTGGGACGGCAAGGCCGCGCCGCGTCTCCTCAAGACGCAGTCTCTCACGGCGCTCGAGCCTGCTGAAGTAACCGAAGCCATTGCCAGCTTTGCGTGGGCAGATGGCAAGAAACGCGTGTCCGTGTACTTGAAACTGCCGGGCATTGGCTTTCACGCCGAGGAGAGCACGCACATTGACTGGACAGCCACCAGCCTCTCGGTCAAGATCAAGAACTTGGACGGCGGCAAGACGCGCGTGTTCGTGGTGGCCAAGCTCTACGCCGAGATCTCGGACGTCAGGACCAAGCGGTCGGAGGACCAGCTTGTGCTGTACCTTGTCAAGGCCAAGGAGCTGAGTTGGCTCTCGCTGCAGAAGGACGCGGCGTAGATCAACCTCGAGGAGCTCTTTTTCCTCTCTCTATTTTCTCTTTTTTTTCAGCATCCGCAGTGGCTCGTGAAGTAGTTAGAACAGACGAGGCAAGAGGGGTGGATGTTGTTTTTGCCCAGCCACAAATGGACGCGCGTAATCATTTTGTCTGGTTACGTTTACATGAACCACTGCATCAGCTGTTTTTTTTGCTAATTACTAACATTTGCAGGACAGCCTCCGGTTGTTGAAGTCGTTACTTGCTTTGGACGTTGGTGGTGTAGAGGATATCGCTCGAGTCGTCGACGAATTGCACGCGGAGACACGTGCTCGTTACGTGCACGGACATGAAGCCATACGTCATGGCTGCGTGCACGAGGTCAGGATTGGCACGCGCATTGGGTTGGAGGTCGTGGATGTCGTAGCCACCAGCACCAGAAACGAAGTAGTTGCGGATAATGGAGCTGTTGTTCGTGTCTACCTTGCGGATGTGCTGCATCGAGTGGTCGTGGCCGTTGAAGTACGCGTGCACTTTGTACTTCTTCAGCATCGGGTCCAGCACGTTGATCAACTCGGGCGTGTCGGCGTTGCCCGCGAAGCTGTACACGCCCCAATGGCCCATAACGATCGTCCACATTTGGTCCACACCGGCTGGCTTACCAGCACTCAGCGTTGCTTCAATCCACTCGTACTGCGACTGTCTTGTTGCTGCAGAGGACTGCTCGATCATTCGTTCCTTGCAGCGAATGTCGCGAGGCTCGCGACCACAGACCAAATCACAAGCATCAATGACAACGAGTCTCAGGATTGTCTTGGGTGCCACTGGACGATCGACGGAGTAATACCGGCGTGGCATGTACCACAACGAGTCCTTCTTATCTGCATACTGGAGCATGGCATCAATCGATCCTTCGCAGTCGTGGTTCCCAATTCTAAATGCCCTCACCAGCATGACGCACGCATGATCATTAACAACCGTAACTCGGTGGTCCAGGGATCGCTTTGAAGGCAAACCAAATGAAAACAAAACCGGCAAAACGGATGCCTTTGACTTACGTGACATACCACGGCACTTGCAAAGTGGCGTGTGTATACATCTGCCGCAAAAGCACAATGACATCCCCATCAGCACAACGTCATCAAGCTCAATCGAACCAGCAGCACACAAATGTATCCCACCTGCTCAAAGTTCGTCGAAAGCAGGGGATCCGCAACGGACTCGATCCTACATCCGACACATCTCCCCATAAGCAGAATGTCGATCCCCACCGAACAGCTACAGCTATAACTAACGGACGCACCCTTGGTCATAGATCTGGTCTCCTGTGGACAATACAAACGCCAGGGGCGGATCCATCCTCGACGTGAAGTTCTCGAGGGCCAACGCCACTTTGCGTTGGCTCTCATTGCCCGTGCCAAAGTCTCCAATCGCAATAAAGTTCGTCTCCTCCGGGAACGCCTTCACGCTATCACCACTTGGCAGCCGCAATGTCCCTGTGACTTGTGAAGCAGGACCAACGCCGGAGTGCCAGAAAAAGAGAGCGAAGATCGTCCAGACGCTCAGCGAGCCCAGCGCGATCACCTTCACCCAGCGCTCGTAGCTAGTTAGTGCGCCATTCCGAGACGCAGGCGCTCTCCACCTATTGGTGCTTCGACGCACAGCCGAGTGACGGTCTCTTCCAGCGTGGTGTTCTTCACGCATACGAAGTCCCTCTTCAAGCTGCATGGATGGGTGGCCCGAATAGCTCAAAACCCAAAGTCTCAGAAGCGGTTGGAACGACTTTAGTGACTCATGAAGGCGCTGGGCGTGATCCCCGCCCGACTTGGCTCCACGCGGTTATCTGCCAAGCCCTTGATAGAGTTCTTTGGCAAGACGATGATCGAGCACACGTACGCAGCTACGAGGCAGTCGAATCTGCTGTCAAAAGTCGTTGTAACGAGCGACAGTCGTCGAGTGTTGGACGTGATCCAACGGGCTGGAGGCGACACGGTGCTCACTGGCGCTTGTGCGACTGGCACCGACCGCATCGTACAAGCACTGGAGTTGATGGACCCAAAGGAGCTGCGCGAGTACGACGTTGTCGTGAATGTACAAGGCGACGAACCAGGCGTGGACCCGAAACACATTGATCAGTGCATCGACGCCCTCCGTACTGCTGGACGAGACACGGTGATGAGCACGTTAGTGACGCCAATTGTGGACGAACGAGACGCCCGCAATCGGAACGTCGTCAAGTGCGTTGCAGACGGCAACAGGTACGAAGATGGAGACACGATGCCTGGTGTATGTATTGATCATCAAGCGCTCTCTCCATACTAACCACATGTATCACCTATCTGTCTACCTACTTGTCTATCTGCCGTCTATCTGTGGTACCTACTGCTCTAGTAACGCGCTGTACTTCTCCCGAGCTTTGATCCCCCACTCAAAGGATGGCGCGTTTACGCCTGCGACAACGGTCTATCTCCGCCACGCGGGCATGTACGCGTTCCGAACGGCGTTTCTACCGGCGTTCCCATTGTTGCCTCCCTCTCGTCTCGAAGCCACCGAAGATCTCGAGCAACTCCGTGTCTTGGACGCAGGGTACAGGATCAAGCTCGTGCACGTCGCGTCCATTCTGCCAAGTGTCGATACACGCGCAGATTTAGACCAGTTGACACGCCACTGGCCGCCACGAGGGCACTAAAACAGGACTCACAACCTCCTGAGACGAACGGTCGGTTTTATTTCGTACTTGATCGAATTACAACCACCCCCTCATGTCCCGTGTGGATAGACATTTTGACCAATCATCAGTCCTCACCGTGATTGATTACTCGCTCAGTCACGTCCGTGGGCGACGACTAGCGAGAACGCAGGGAACTCTACTGCGTCATCATCAGAACTCTGCTGCGTCATGATCATGGGAAGCGACGAGGAGCTGGACTTGGCTGCGTCAGCTACAGGCAACGCCGTGCTGGACGCAGCGCGTGGGGTAACAGGCTCAGGAGCTGCTGCTGTAGCAACGACGGAGGAGGGCGCTGCGTGGGTGCGGCTGGAGCTCTGTGCGATCGCCAGTTTGCAGCTGGCACTGGTGCTTGTGGCCTACCGTTTGGACCGCTCGACGCATCCCGCGCTGATTTCCGAGTCCGCTGTGGCCATTTCCTTTGGCGTGTTGGTGCGTTCATATGGACAGGAATGGAAGGAGAGAGAGATGACGGTTGATGGGGTTTTGTGGTGGGTGTTATGCTGTGCTGCTTGGATGTAGTTTGGCGTCGGAGTGCTGATCTTTTACCCACGGGTACGGGACGGAGGGGTCGATTGTGGTGAAGGAGGTTGCGGGTTTTGTATTGATTTTGGGCTGGCTGTTGGTGGGGCAGGAATCGCTGAACAATGGCATGGATCCGGAAGTGCTCTTTTACGCGTGCGTTGCTGCTGTCGGGCTGGATGATGGAGAATCTGGGTCGTGAATTTAGTTGTGTGTGGGGGGTTGCTGGTTTGTAGGTTGCTGCCGCCGATTATCTTGGAAGCTGGGTTCAACATGAAGAAGAGGGTATTTATACGGCTCGAGTCGCGTCTTTGGTTGAAATATGTGTGACGTTGATATATGGTGCGGTGTGGTGACCTGTCTGTTTGCATTGGAATGTAATGCCAGGGCTTCTTTTCCAATGTCAATGCGATTATGCTGCTATCGATCGTTGGAACGCTTGTTGCGACATTCATCACGGGCGGTATCTTGATCTGGGTGGGCAATTTAGGGCTCATTACCAAGCTGACAGCTGCAGAAGCGTACCTGTACGGTGCACTCATTTCGGCAGTCGATCCAGTCGCGACACTCTCAGTGTTCAAGAAGAATGGCGTACCTCCGCTTCTCTTTAATCTTGTTTTCGGCGAAAGTATGCTGAATGACGGCGTTGGTGAGTATTCTATCGTTTTTTTTATTAGTTGCTCACCACCAGGACCAACGCTATAGCCTCACGTTTTTGTGTTGCATACGTGTTCGTAGCGATCGTGTCGTTCACACTGTTCCAGGGCCTTATCCGAGACGACATTGCTGATGTCACCTTACATGACGCAGGAATCATTATCACCAAGGTCTTTGGAATTGGCTTCGGATCTGTTGGTCTAGCAGCTGTTGTGTGCTTTACGTCGGCATTCTTGCTCAAACAAGCCGATCCGGCTCTGCGGCAGTACCCTTCCTACGAGATATCGATTGTGCTGCTCTCGGCGTACTTGAGCTACGTGATTGCTGACCTCGTTGGGATGAGCGGTATCGTGGCACTGTTCTTCTCGGGCGTGCTAATGAGTCACTATCACCTGTACAACATAGCCGACGAGAGTGCGACGGCTTTGCGGCACTTGCTGACGACTTCGTCATTCATGGCGGAGAACTTTGTGTTTATCTACATGGGAATGAGTGTCGTCGCATACTCAGGGTATTTCACGTGGGACTGGGGATTCATCCTCGCCAACATGATCGCTTGTATCGTGGGACGCATGCTCAACACGTTCCCGATGTGTGCACTTGCAAACCTTTGTCGGTCGGAAGACAACAAGATCCCGTGGAGCCATATGGTCGTGGTCTGGTTTGCCGGACTTCGTGGAGCAATTGCGTTTGCGCTGGCACTGAATGTGTACACGCCGAATCGTGTCCACGCGAGCGTGATTCAAAGCACGACGCTGTTCACGGTCATGTTCACGACTTTGGTAAGCTACCAACGACGTCGCGGCAACCACACGTACCTAACACAAATGTTGTCTATGCAGGTTTTTGGGATGGGCACAAGTCCTGTGCTGCGTTATTTCGGCTTGACAGCGACGCAAGATTGTGACAAGTACGTGGAACAATCAGACATGATCGCGCACGTGCGTGTTGATTTCACACTAAAGTTGCTGTGCTGACTCGCAGCGAGGGTGCAAACGAGCGGTTGCTTTCGAGCGACGATGAGCACGACGCAGGTGCTGCGTTCCACCGCATTGGTGGGTCACTTTCCCGCCGTAACATTCGTGGCATCCACAGCATCTGGGAGCGTATCGACGAAAGGTACTTGAAGCCGCTTTTCGGTGGTCAACCACGCGACCAGCAGCTTAAGGGCCGAGGAAACGGTTCCTCCACTGCAAGTACCAGCAGCTCGCCTCGGTCTTTGCGACGTTGCGTTCGGAAACGAAAAGGTCAGCAGGACTTTACGCCGCCTTCATCACCAAAGTCGCCGTCGTCTCAAATTCCGTTAACTGCTATGACTGCGAATCAAGATGACACTCGCGACGTTGTCGTATAACGGAGATGTAGCCATATCAACTCTCGAGATCCGTGCTATATCAGTCCGCCGATCGGGGTTTTCATAACTTGTTTTTTGTTCGCACGCCTCGTTCGAATCCATTAATCGTACATATTTGTCCTGACAAAACCACCAAATCAACCAATCAAAAATCATCATTGTCGTCGTCGACCATGGACGCAGCTCGCGGCGTCTTGTCCGACGAGATGCGGACACTGTACGAAGCCCAGCGTCGAGCTCATGAGACCGTCCTGGCTCTCCAAGCTCAAATCGAAGACGAAGAAGCCGTGTACCTGGACGAGACACCGCACGGCAACATCGTCCGTGGCTGGGACGGGTTTCTCGACTCGAAACAGCCGCGTAAGGACGCGAATGTGCGGAAAACTCGGTCGTACACTGAGTCGGAGCACCTTTTCTCCAGCAGCTGTTTGTACACGAGCATAGCCAGGGAGCCAAGTCTGGATCAAGTGACGGACATTTACGGCACATCAAAGGACGAGAGTGGACCGTTGCGCAAGCTGACGGTCACGTTGTCCATGGGGAAGGGAACGGGCGTCTCGGGGAGTATCAGTGGCGTCGTGGGCAGTTCCTTCGGTGGAGCAGTCAATCGAACGGCTACTGGAGAGCGGTCCCACGTGGACCTTTTGATGCAAGAGAAGCCAGTGGAAGCTGTTGCTGTTGTTGCAAGGGAGAAAGGAGCAGCTACAGCAGCAGCAGCTCTGGGTTTACAACCGAGTCAAGTTGCTGAAGTGAAGAAGAGGAAGAGAGAGGCAGAGGTGGAAGCTCTTGGTCTTGATGCTCCTGCTGCTGCTGCTGTTGTTCTTAGGGGTATACAGGAGACGGCATCATCGGCTGTTGCTGCGACGAGTGCAGCTTCGACTGGATCTGCTGTGATGGCTCACCCACCTGCGAGTGATTTTCTTGATGTGCTGTAGCCAAACGGGTGGTTGTGGGATGCAAGAGTGTGCTTTATTAAACAACGGAATCAAAGTAGTACTAGTACGACTGACATGAAGGCTGCTGACTGACCTGTGGCTCGCTACTATTTTGCGATTCAAGAGGAGGAATGCCTGAAAGTGCGTGCGCAGGGTTACGTCGACGTGTCGAAGGAAGTGAGCAAGACTTCCAGATCCTTCGTTGTCTGGCGAAAGAAACCGTCGTAGTTGAACTGTAACGGCACAACAAGATTGCAGCATCGAGTTAACACACAGCCAGAGGAATCGAGTGCGTGTCAAGTCGGTGCTTACTTCGAAAATATAATCCAGCTGCTGTGGTGGCACGGTGATGTCTGGAAACTTGGCGTAGCCCTACACAGCAGCACGGTACAATGGCAAGGAAAGTCAGTTAGCTGTCAGTAAAAACAGGAAGTGCTACCTTGCACTGCTCCACACGTACCCCGAGTCGATCATCGACAGTCGCTACAGCTTCCACGGTGCCCTGAAGGCTCTGGAAAAGGTGCGAGATACTGTTCCAATGCAGATCTAGCTGCGACCTCAACTGCGTCATGTACTCGCCGTGCGAAAGGATGGCTTCGGACGGCACGGGCGCGGACCCGAATCTAGACGCAAGCGCGTTGATTGAGTTGTATGCGTAGGCACCCACACCGATTACATCGTTCGATTCACGCTGCTGCGCCAGTGGCAGCGCGAGGATGCCCGCCTTCATTTTGGAAGACTCCACCATCATCTGCTTTAATCGAAGCAGCAGGTCGTCCATTTCCTTCTCAAAATCAACAAGATTCGCTCTCAGACGTCGATATACGAGTGTCATGCCTGAGATACTCTTCTCTTCGTCCACGATCCGACGCTGCAGAACCACAACGCAGCTAAGAATCGATCGAATGTGCTTCTTCAGGAGCTGTGACAAACGCGTGCGGTGCAACCGTACACGCAGCAGCAAATCGCTCGAGCAACAGACACCAACTGCTTCGTAGATAGAGCACAGCACGATGAACGCATCGAAATTGCCCTCATCAATAGACGAAGTATGGTGCGATGTCCGGACGCCCCAGGACAACTGGCCGATACGTTGGATCGACTGACGCACGAGAAGAAGCGTATCCAGCACACCACCCTGAGCTGCAGCAATGTCAGCAGCTTCCCTTGCTGCCGAGCACGAAGATGGGCCCTTTTCAATGTCTTCGTCTTCGTCCGTTTCCGAGTTGACGGGGCTGCTCTCGCCCTTCTTTAGTTTCGGTGGTGCCTTTGCACCACCACCCCATGACACAAGTGACGAGAAGAACGAGCCGCTATCCGTGCTCGACTGTTTCTTGGGAGCACGAACCGTTGCTTCATTTGCCACGACAAGTCGGTTTTCCGCATGAGCATCGCACTCGGAACTGCTGTCATCCAACAGAGTGACTCGGTCATCCATTTCCGACGAGGAGACCTTTCGACTGCTAGTACGGCTACGACGACCCGGTGTTTGCCCTGCTACAACGAGTGCATTGCACGTTTCTGACGGCGCTTCATCTTCCAGCAACTCAATCGTCGCATGACCGTTGGCATCCGCCATGCTGTCTTCAATTTGGTTGTGCTGCTGTCCCCCGTCTTCGATGAAGCCTCCACCTAATGCTGCTGTGACGTACCTACAAATGGAGTTGTTCTCTTCCACCCACACACCGGTAGCCTGTTTAAACTTCTTGTACATCTTTTGCACGTGTAGCGGGTCAGCACTTGCATACATACGCTGGATAGGTTCCACGCATGCGCCGAAATCACGGGCTAAGTAGCCTTCAAGCGGGAGCACCTTGCTAAAACTCCAACGCCAAGCTTTCTCCTGGTTGGGCTTGAGACGATCCAGTTCACGTACGCCGATGCGCGTGAGCTGACTCACTTCTCTACTGATTTCTGTTTGCACCGCTTCCAGTGACTGCATCAAACGCCGAATTTCTTCTCCACCAGGTCCATAGACAAGTAAGTCACCACCAGGACCAGCGAGCTGTCGGGCTTTACGACAAGACACGAGCAAATCGGCAAGCAGCTTCAGCAAGCCATGCAGTTTTGTAAACGCGTCAAACGTTTCCTCTCGAACCTCCTTCCGAAGTGACACAACGCCTGAGTTGCTCTGCTGGAGATAATCGGACGGGGTAATCGCCACTTCGTTCGAGTTTGAGCTACGACGCAGTTGCCGCGTCAGCACAGAAGGCACCTGCGGCTTTGCTTCCGTATCACAAAAGACCGCAGTGTGAATCATCTCCTCTTCCTCCTCATTTGTCAACAATAACGACGGCAGCGAATCCTGAGGAGAAACTGCAGCCTGGTTCTGTGAAAACAGCTCTCTAGAAAATCACACAACAAAAGCCAAAAGTACAGCAACACCTCTCGTCAGGTTACCACCACCAGCACCTCTCAATGACAGCTCTCCGTTGTACGTACTTAAACGACGGCGTCGTCAGCAGCACTTCCAGCATTTGTCCCGACTTGCTCCCCATAGCGTCCTTCATACCTGCATGTTGTTGCGACTGCAAGTTGCTAATCGTGCAGTCGGCCGGTGTATTCGGCGTATTCCGCAGCACGTAAAAGAGAAACTGCACGCCATGCATGAGTCCATCGGTCCCACGAGCTTCCAGAGTATGCAGCTGCTCTCTCGCCGACGAGTGCGCTCGTTCCGTCTCAATCGTCGGCAACACGCGCGTCTCAATCACGTTCCGCACGTCTTTCAGCGTCCCCAAGAGCGAGCGTTCCCCTGAGCCAGAGTGAAAAAGGCCTTGCTGGCCATGCTGCAGCCTCAGCACGTAGCTGTGTCGCCGTCGCACTTCAATCAAAATGGATTCCGTCGTGCAACTCGCGGGGGCCAGTGTCCGCATGGCCCAGTCCTTGAACTCCTCGAGCAAGAGCGTCCGTGGGTCATTCAGGTACCCTGAGAACGAAAACGATCGATCGTACCGCTCTTTTTGGTACGCACAGATGCTCGAGATCATGGCTTCAGCGGGATTTCGCAACAGCCCGACCACGTCTTGCATTTTCCGTAAGTACGAATTTTCATCAAAATCCGAGATGGTCGGATTGTGCAGGGGATAAAAGTTGTCGTCCATCTTGAGGGCAACGGGGAGGTCCTCTTCGCTCACTTCCATGGCTTCACAATAAGCTTGATGCACAAAGCGCATTTGGTCCATCTCGAGCTGCGAGTAGCTCTTGCTGAACGGGTTCAGCCGCATGCCCCAGTTCGACATGCTCAGCGGACGTAGTCAGACTTGGAGAAGGTGGAGGGAGCGAGTGAGCGAGTGAGTGGGACGGTAGCTGGAGCTGTGGCCTCGGCGCTCGAGTGGCGCAAGAACTCAGTGCTGGATAGGGCAGAACTGAAGGGGGATCTGATATGAGAGGGTATTAGATGCGAGGAGGACGGGAGGGGTCGGGGTGATGACGATGATGATGATGAGGGGTCGATGGAATGGATTGATTATCTGGATCGAGCAGGGTCGTCAACGGTCGCTCGGCGGGGTTTTGTGATGTAATATTTGTCTATTGCGAGAGATTCGGGAACGTTAGTGGATTGGTTTTGTTCTGTTTTTAGTTGTTTAATTGCTCAATTGTTGGCGCTTGTTGTTGTTTTTGCTCTTGAGAATGACGAGCTTTTTTGGAATTAAAGTCGGTTTGATTTCGACACGAGTTAACGCGCCGAGAGAATCTAGCAATTTCGCGAAACAAACGGCGAAATGATCGCACGACAGCGTCTGTGGTCGAGTGTACGTACACACGATTTGAGCGCGAAGAGGCGCGTGACTCTTCTTATTGAAACATTTCACTATCCCGTTTAGTCTGTCGTGCAAATTTCTTTGCTTTCATGCCGAGTGGAATCTGCATTCCGGATTCTCATGTTGCAAGTCCTCGTAACGGTCGATTAAAAGTTGTCGGAATCTATCAATCGCAGAAATAAGTATCGCTGGCATTGATGCGAGCAATTTGGTGCTTTTGACGAAACATGGAGACATTTCGACAGCAAGGTACACAACGAGCCTGTTCTTGTTCGTATTTTGAAGACCGTATTCAGTGATAACGGAAGGATCCGACTGCGAATCGTTGCGAGCGAGTGCTCTGGGCCTTTCACAAAAGTTTGGTTACGTGCTCGAAGCGGTAATGACCACCTCATTAAAGACAGAAGTGGTGGTAGAATGTGCAACAAACAACTACATAGCAGGCATGTCGGACTGGTTTCCGCATCAGGATGCGCTTTGCACACGGTGGTTACCAGAAGACCTCCGACAGGGATAAAGTGTGTGTTGGCATTTGCGCTGTGGATACAAGTGGGTCTGTGCGCGCCCAACTAAGCAAGAACACGGGTTCGATAGGAAAATATCCAAACGAGTAAAAAGTCGATTTGTGGTTTTGTGCTGTCTAAGGCCAATGGAGATACACCACGAACTACGGAGTTGGCAAGTAAGTACGACAGAAAGCAGGAAGCGTAAGTCTTGCGCGGAAATTGCGGAAATCAGCAATTTCTAGTTGCATAAGGTGCGATGGATGAAGCTGGAGATTGCACTCGTGATTATCAAGTCTTCTGGTTTACTCAAGCCTCACGTACGTTGTAAATAGCTGCATGAAGAGCGAAGACGGCTGCCAGCTGATAAATAATGCTTGGAGTCTCAATGATTTGCACTGCAATTATTTCGATGGGTCCGTTTGCACATCTATTTTAATTAATTGGACGAAAACAAAAGAAGAGACAAAATATATGAAAGTATTTGTAAAGTATGAATTATACACCTGCACAAATGAAATAAACTAAAGTGTAGCAGAAAATAAAGCTAAAAGACAGCTGCGAAGGAAGATACCATTTGTACGAGCATTCTCATGCCTGGGATCGTCGCGATTCCATCGTAAATGGTCTTGTGATCTCATCGTAAGTCATGTGAAAGACTGAAGATTCGTGGTGGTCTAGTGGCGCCAAATCACATTTGGTATATGTTGATCGCTCGATTTTTCTTCACGACAACTGTGCACCCAAACGAGGCTGCCAGAGAGTACATATATGTGCTACAATAATCATCATCTTGCTGTGTCAACGCAGGGAGATCGAATATCTCGTGAATGTAGCATAGTTCCCGGTCTTTATGCTCGACGTTCGATCGAGTCATGAAGCTACAATATATTTCGAGTCATTTATAAGGCTGTAAGATGTGCCGATTCACCTTCTACTATTCAGGCGATGTAAGCCGACAGAGCATCGATGTCGTAACCTAAACAACAAACTCACAGCACCTTCGTTGATAGCTGTTACTCGACCAGAATCGATATCATTCAGGCATTATGAAGCTCAACTGAAGGTGTGAATCGTCCGAGTTGTGTGGTGTCGAGTGATAAAGGACGTTCAAAAAAGCGTGCCATTGGCAAAAGCCTTCATTTTGGTGTGCAGTATGAACTTTCGCCAACACCAAGAACTCCAACCACAGTTGATTTGCACTCGTGTCAAGTTTCCAAGGTACCTGGTCGAAACACAACTGCAACAAAACTGCTGTAAACCTGCATTCGGAGATACGGACATGACATTCGACCGAAACGTGACCCCCCCCCTTATGATCCGACGAACGGAGAGATTTCAACCACGTACATGATCTGTGTTGCCGCTCATAAAAGTGTATGTCGCCACGTGGATAGCGCATGTACTAGTTATCGGTGAACGTGTACGCTTTGAATGTACCGTCCCTGCATACGACCTATGTGTGACGATCCATGATCAAAATTCATCGTTTAAATCTTGTTGTTTCGCACGACATAAAGTCGCAGCTTCACGTTTAGGCGCCACACCAATGATTCAGTGTGTTTTGGCTGTCGACGGCAAGTAATCTAAGAGACCCTTCCTCTGTAAACAAGCGGTACACGCAAGGAGCACCTATCCGTACGCATCGCATCCCCCAATTTTTGAATGTGTCATTTTCTTTTATTTTTCAATGTTCGTATTCATCATACTGCTGTTTTAACGCTATTTCTTTGAAGCCATATGTTCTGCGCCAACGACTCTTTTATTTCACCTGAGAGCTTGACATCCCAAACCACATGTCATCAGCATCTTTTATGCACTATACCTTCTAATACCGGTACCAGCTTACCGGTATTCCTGCATCAACAACGCGCCTACCCATCATCAATCACGTCATGGGCCGCAACAGGAAGGGGCGTCAATGCGGCGGCTACGGCTCCAAAAAAGAGCGGTGAGAGCTCGTAAACAAGTGCAGAAAATGCCTCTTCATGTAAGCTAATCTCACTTTGTTTTTGTGCTGGATCCTTGCAGGTTCGTGCTGCTCCAGCGCTGGCAGCAAGAAGTCAATAAAGTCACGCGCAAGAACGCGCAGAACCGACACACGCAGCACAAGCTCGAAGACCAGCGGAGACGTGCGGTAACTACAGAGTCTGCCCGTTGTCGTGTGCGGGCAGACTTGCTGTCATTGTGGACGAACGCGCGTCTAAAGGACGATCGTATGGAGAAGAGGAAGCGCGACGGAGCGCTCTCGATCGCTTCGGAGCTGCAGAAGACGTCGAAGGTGGACACGTTCTCGTCGCTACAAGAACGGTACATTACTTGACTGGTTCATAGGCGTCGTCTGAGCTCAATAGCGGTGGAGAATTGTAGCGATACTAAGCTGAACGTGTGCAATGCAGGTGCATCTACGAGATTGCACGGTCGTTCGATCTCTACAGCTCTGCGTGCGAGTTCACCCACGCGTTCTTCGCTTCGTGCATGCCATGGATGGTCACGCGACTTGCGGAACTGGCAACTGCGTTCAAGACAGTGTGTGATGGGAATGTGCAGCTGTTGCTGCTGCAGCCGACGGAGCAGCTCACAGTTGGTTTTGTCCGGGACGAAAAGTCCTTGGCGCCACTATTTGCAGTAGAAGACAATGAGCAGCACATGGCGTGGCAGTCTGCATCCGGAAACCTGGTGGAGCGTGCGGTTGAGTCGTGGGAAGACCTGGACAGTGAAGACGTGGACATTGTGCAGACTACTGGTTCTGATGAAGTGCGACTGCTGAGTCTGAGTCTCGTCTCGTGTCTTGGACTCTCGAGTCGGTTCTTGACGCAATTGATGACAGCCCATCCACACCTCGAACACCTCAAGATTGTGGATTGTTTCGACGCTGCATCGACTGAACAAGGCGTTGCATTGCTGCACCAGCTCGCCAAGTCGCGTGCGCTCCAGACGCTGCACTTTTCCTGGTGTGGTTGGCTCACTACGGAGATCCTTGTCACCTTTGCTTACGAGCTCCTGGAGCCGCCTCTCTCTCCACTTTGTAAGCTCCACGTCTCGAACTGTTTTGATGTACTTGGTGACTACGTACAGGCTGTGTACCACGACCTCCTGCCGGCATTAAATGTATCCATGTGACAAGCCCTCGCTTGTCAACAAAACAAACACAACCTCGCGAAGATCATACTGACTGCTTCATGCCCGTCCATAGTTTTTGACAACTTGTTTTCCCACCTGTCGACGAATGAGCATCGCGGGTCCGCTGTACCGTCGCACGCCGCGGCTATTTCACCGCAGCAAGCCAGGGGAGTGGAGCTTGGTCTGGTGTGAGCTGTCGCTAGCGCAGGGCGAGCTGCTCGTGGCGCTGGATCCCAGTGGACGCAGTCGCATCGCTTTGATTCCCGTCCAGGCGTGTGAACTCGCCCATGTCCGGAGTGACGGTCGTGATTGTATTGAATTAACGATCAATCGGGGCAAAAAAGAGACGTTTTCGTCGCACGAGTCGAGTCACGATGTGGATTGGTGGTGCGTGCGTGCGACATGCGCTTGTTGTCGTTACTTCAGTACTTGCCACGTATTAGGGTTTTCTTCCTCTGATGGAGATGTGATTGTTCGATGGATGAGCTAAAAGGTCAGGTCGTGATTGTGTCTTGTTTGTGTGTCGTAGGATGACGGCGTTGATCACAGTGAAGAGGGACTTGCAGCGAGGCGTGATGCCGCACATTTCATTGGTCACGCCGCCAGTATTGGAGCCAGCATCGAGACCGAAACACATGCGGCGTCCGTCGTCGCAATTGAGTCTGAATCTAAACTTGTCGGGAAATGCAAGCACGTCGAGTGGAGCAGGAATGGGACGACCGACGTTGCGACGACGGAAACCAGCGCTGGCGACGTGTGAGACGCTGTTTGAACGCTTTACAATCTACGAGACGCCATTGATGTATTTTATTGTGTGCTCGGATCGCCATTATTCACGCTTTCGAATGATTGAGCTGGACCGGACGGTAGAGCAACCAAAAAACTTGGAGCAAGTGTTGAAGGAAGACAAGCGTCTGTACGACTGGGAGCAAATGGAAGCGAGACTGCAAGCACTGGCCGAGCTTGCGCGTGTTCAAGGCACTGGCGATTTGGAGAGAGCGTTTACAGCTGTGGCGATGGTCGGGTGTATCCGCTTCTTGCGCGGCTACTACTTCATTTTCGTCACACAAAGACGAAAGATTGGTAACATTGGAGGCAATTCGATTTACGGCATTTCAGCCACGCAACAACTGAATGTCAATCGTTCTGGAGAAGAACAGACTGCGTGGACCCGACTCAACCGTTGGTTCAACACGAGCCCAAAAGAAGAAGCTGAGGCACGGTACCTTGGACTTTTCCATTTTCTGGATCTCACTAAGGACTTTTACTTCAGCTACTCGTACGATGTCACACATACATTGCAGCACAACATGACAACTGAACAGTCAGAGCCAGCAGAAATGTTTACATGGAATTACTATCTGACCCGAGAGCTGAGCATTTGCTTGAATGGTGGTGCCGCTGCTGACTTGATTGTACCGTTGGTTCTTGGCTGCTATGAGCAGCGCAAATGCTCAGTATTCGGTCGTCTCGTTAGCATCGTGCTACTTGCTCGTCGATCCCGCCACTTTGCCGGCACGCGCTACTTGAAACGTGGGGTGGCTGACACCGGCAAAGTTGCGAATGACGTTGAGACGGAGCAGATTATTGAAGATGAGAGCATGGGCCCTGGAAAGTTCAGCTCATTTGTACAGCATCGTGGGTCCATTCCTGTGTTTTGGTCGCAAGAAACGTCTGCGACGTTACCAAAGCCACCCATCGTGCTCAATCGTGTTGATCCAACGTATAGCGCGACGCAAAAGCACTTGGCCGACTTGTTCTCGCGATACGGTTCACCTGTCGTAGCTCTCAATCTTGTGAAGCAGTCAGAGAAAAAGGAGCGCGAAGTTATCGTGGGCAACGAGTACATGAATGCCGTGGAATACCTCAACAGCTTCATGCCACCAAAACACCGCGTGCGGTATGTAGCGCTTGATTATTCTCGATTGTCCGGGCCCAAACAGAAAGGTCTCAACGTGCTGCATTCACTCGATAAAGTGGCAGTTTGGGCACTCACACAGACCGGGTTCTTTTGTAGTGCACCAAAGCGACAAATTAGCCAGAACGGTAATATGTGGACGGCTCAGACATTTTCCCCGAGCTCGCCCGCCGAGCCGTGGGACGCACATATCACAGCAAGTAAAGTCCAATCGAGAAGAGAAGCTGACGATGAAGTGCCTTGGACTGATTCACCCTTATCTCCTACCATTACGAGAAACTCTGGGGAGTGGCTGGAGCAACGCGGCATCCTCCGAACGAACTGCATCGACTGCTTGGATCGCACGAATGTGAGTCAGTTCAGTGTTGGAATGCGCGCCCTAGGTCAGCAGCTGTATGTGATGGGTATCAAGAACACGCCACTGTTGGAAAGTCGTTCGCAGCTGGTTCTCGTTCTGATGAAGCTGTATTCTCTCATGGGTGATGCAATCTCGATGCAATACGGTGGATCAGAAGCGCACAAGAACGTGAAAAATAGTGCTACTCGCGAAAATGTCAAGCACCGCGAACTTCTAACATCCATTCGCCGCTACTACAGTAATTCGTTTACAGATACAGCGAAGCAGGATGCGATTAACATTTTCCTCGGGCACTTTGTGCCTACAGAAGATGCGCCTCCACTTTGGGAACTGGATTCCGATTACTACTTGCACAATTTCGAGGTTCGAAACGGTATGGCTGCATGCGAAAACGTCCGCCGCAACCTTGCTCTTCATGCCGAAAATAAACGAAAAGCGTTTGGCGAATTGTATCGAAAGCCACCGACCCAGCTATCGTGCTGCTCGTCGTCGGGAGTTTTGGAAGATGGCAACAATGATGGCGTCGGCGACGAATCTTCGCGCGAACGTGCTTTAGTTTCGGCGACTCGAGATCAGGCAAAGCGTGATGTGTATATTCGTGAGTGTAGGCGAGTGCTAGATGACTGGTGGAAGGGGTCGTTGGAAGCGTTTGAGCAGCCTAAGTATTGTCTGCCATCGATGGAGAAATTACCTCGTGTACCTGACGAGGTTGGGCAAAGGGAATGCAAACAAGAACTCAGCAGTAGTTTCGATGATTTACAGCAGCGTACAGCAGATAGCCGAAACGCGTCACCTCAACCTCCCTTTTCTGACGATTTTCTGCATATGTATCATCCTGAAGAACTGACGACGTTTGACAAGGTGCTGGGGTACAAATTCATGCTTCCGATGGAGATTTCCGACGAGATAAATGAGAGAGACAAGCGGCGATCCGACAGTACTGTTGTGGCACATCTGACATCGGTCCCGTCATCGTCCTCTATCTTTGGCTTAGCGCGCGGAGATGAAGAAAGCATCTCCGCCTACGAGCAGGCTACTCGGCAAGGGCAAGCAATGAAGGGCACTCGATCTTTTCGAAGCATGAGTGCTCCTGATGTTGGAGAAGATGTGAGGAACCAGCCCCACTCTAACCGAAGAGCGTGCAGTAGTGGCCGTGAGGAGAAACACGACAATCAGAATGATTACACAAGTGCTAGTACCTCTGAATCTCATCGAGCTTCCCGATCTGCACTAGCGGATGCCATAAACAAGTACGGAGGTCACGGGTCTGCAGCACTCAAGACTGTGGTGAAACACAAAGACGACCAGATCAGCATCGAAGACTATGTGTTAAGCAGAGGGTACGTCATGTAAACTTGTGTCAAATTGTGCTCGGCCACGATTGAAGCAGCAAACGTAGCATCTGATTCTGACATTTTTGTTTGCGTTGTGCAGGTGTCGCATGTTTGTTGGTAATTGCTCGACGCCTGCGCCAGACCCGATTTACCAACAGTACGTTAGGCCTTCACATCTTTCGTAAATTATGTAGAGAGGCTCATTTACTTGGCGTGTTTGCTTGGCTTAGGTACGTGCTTGGAAAGGAATCTCCGCAGATATGGGAAAACGACAACGATGGTGTTAAGATGTACTTTGAGGCGTACATGCGAGACAATTGCATCAGTCCTGATGATGCCCGCAGCCTTCGTGACGCGCAGACTCGAGCTGGTGCGACCTTCACGCTTCAAGCTGGTCCGTATTCGGGACTGGAACAAAATGTGAAGGCCCGGGTGTTGGTCGCGAAGAAGCTTAAAACCGACTATGAAGATCGAAAGTACGTTTCAATGATGAACGAATTGAGCTCGTGGTGTACCTAACAAATTTGTGTGCGTTTTCTAGAATGTTTGAAGAGTCTGTGGACCTAAAGAAACTTGTGAAAACCGGAGAAGCATCAGTTCCTTCAGAGAGCCTTGAGTTGTACAAGACCTTCTTTGACGAAGAGCTGCCGGCTGTGGAGATCTATCGACCTACGAAAGAGGCAACACCACCAGTATCGATGCTACAAATGGCAGACGATTCGACACCGCCGGTGACATCGGCGTCAGTCTTATCTTCCAAACTGGATTCACGTATGCAGCAGTTATCGCTGGACAAGCGAAGCCGTACTCGATCCAGCGGTGGAGATTTGATACCGGTGGGTCCTCTTTTCAAGATGGATGGTGGAAAAGACAGTGACTTCATCGTTTTTAACGAAGCGGCGGCAGAAAACTCGTTTGGCGAGGTGACGCAAAACGAAACGGAACTGTCGTTTTACTCAAAGTGAGGCATGCCCGGAGTGTGTTAACATCCTAATCACTTTGCACTATCTACAGGCTCTCGCTCGTGTCGCAGAACTCACTCACTCTTCAACAACATCAATCGTGTGATCTTGCTCTCCGTCGAGCAGTTTGTGCATCAAGGACTTCATATTCTCGAGCTTCATCTTCCGTCTCCACCTCTTTGCTGAGAGCAGACTGCTGCCGTGGCTTCGATTACCTCTGTTGCTGCTGCTACCTACTTGGTTTCTAGTCTGTAATCGTCGTGGATTTCTACGCCACAACCGATGGTGTTGTCGGCTCCGGACATTTTGGCGATCGTTTGTAATGTCCATCGGCACATGGAGTCTCTGGCCACGTGAGCGACAGGCACAAGTTTCTGTCGTTACTGCCTCAGCGCCACGGGAAAAAGTGCCCGATGAATTGTGTGGCGAAAATGTAGACGCCAATTGTGAAAACAGCCTAGATCGATTCGACTTTCGCTGGAACTCGTCCTGGTCTGCTGACACCGAAGAAGATTCGTCGTTAGACTCGGTGCCTCCTGTGCCTTTTTCGAGCATAGCCAGCGGCTGACAGAAATCGATGTTGCCATCATCGAAGAAATACACATCCTTGCTGTCCAAGAAACCCCGTTCGTGGTCAAGATGATGCAAGAATCCCGCACCCATGAGTGCACGACCAAGCCGCACACCCTCGCTGCGTGAATCGATGACTGTCAAGTCCTTCATTCGCTCAACTAGTTGGTCACCAGTGATGCACATCTGAGTTTTACTGACATGGTCTTCCGTGCTGGATCGCTCAACTTCATCACTCAGATCCTGAGCGAACACTGCTAGCAACTCCTCTTGGATGCCCTCCAGCTTGTGAACAATCTGTGGCATGCTCGGGCGTGCCATCGGGTCACTCTGCCACGCGCTTGTGATGACATCTCGAAGTTTTGCTGGGAAAGCCTCGTCGGAGGTTGCTGGATCTGTGTCATCAAATGGTGGACGCCAACCATTGAGCACGCCTTCAAACACTACCATCGGATTCGTCGCGCCATATTTCTCGCAGCCCGGGTACAGGATATCCCAGAACGTGATGCCCAGTGAGTAGACATCAGCTGATTCGCCGTAGCTTGCTAGACCTGTCCGACCGTCAATCATCTCTGGAGCCATGTAATTCACAGTACCCGTGACTGTCATCTTGATCTGCGGAGGAGCTTGGGCACGAATATCGAGACTACAAGTGTCAGTCGTTCCAGTTGAAGTCTCTACGGTGTCCATCTTGTTGGCATCGATCCCTTTACCAGGCTTCGGTACATTTTCTGCCAGCCGTCGCGAGTCACCGAAGTCCGTGAGCTTGACGTTATTGTCGTTATCTACGAGAAAGTTGGCAGGCTTGATATCACGATGTAGAAAGGGTGGTGAAAAGCTGTGGACGTAAGCGACAGCACGTGCACAGTCGAGCATGTACGCTACCTTGAGAAGTATCTGTCGAGAGTCAAGGATATCGACCTCTTGGAGTTTGCCATCAAGATCAAGTTGACGACGAGGTGCTAAGCTGTGATGACTTTGCACCTTGTCATGAGCGGTCAAGACGTCTTCCAATGACCCTTGACAGAGCTCAAAGACCAAGCAAATTGTCGGAGGGCACACGCACATCCCGTAGAACTTGACAATGTTCGGATGCAACAGCGACGCACAAAGAGCTGCTTCGTGCGAGAACTCGGCCACAACTTCTTCAGTGAACCGATACGGCGTGTACACTTTCACAGCAACTTGACATTGCTGCTGGAGTTGGCCACGGAACACCGTTGCACTCGACCCGACGCCAATCTGCCGAAAAAGCTCCAGGTGAGCAAAGTCAATCACCACCTTCCTGTGCAGTTCAATGAGGAGGTGGATCCCGTTCGACGAGATCCACTCGTCAAGTTGCGGGTTCTGACCGTAGGCTCCCTGCTGGCAACCAATTTGTTGCAAAGCACACGCACGTTGGCCCACTCCCCGCCAATATTCCGTGTCTGCACGTAGCAACGTCCACACGAAAAAGGGAGCTAACGAGCCGCAGCTTATCATGACGTACGTCGTGGTTGCAAAGATGCTGGATGTCGGAGCGAAATTACGGAGCAACGTATTCGAGGTGTTGAGCGTGTGGAACGCGATTGTGTAACTGCCGTAGACGCGCAGAGTTGACGGGCTTGCCCGACATGCTGGTGGATGGATGAAGCACACATTGATGACGAATATCAGCAGCAGGAGGCGCACCACAGTTCTGATTGCGAAGTACAGTGCCGTGTCTTGCGATACAAAGTGTGATAGACAACAGACAATCGGGATCGTGTAACAAGCGAGAAACAGCGAGATGACCACTGCACGTCGCAGAGCTGGCACCGAGACGCTTTTCTGACACAGAAAGACAAGTGCGAGGACGAGGACAAACTGTCGACCGGCGTAAATGACTTCCCCATGAAAGCTCGGAAAGTGTGTCGTGTAGATAGAAGTCTGGAGCGTGACGCAGAAAAAGCTGGCAAAGGCCCCAGTGGTGGCAGCAAAGATCCACAGAAGAGGTTCAAATGCTGGTAAAATCACTTTGCGTGCAGCTTGGGCATCGCCTTTGAAAGCCACGTGACGATTCATGCGCAGATACAGCAGCAAGAGAAGGCAGAAGAAACACGAGACACCGTACCCACCAAGTGCGAGAATCTGAGTCAATCGCACTCGCTCGGAGACGACTGGCTTGGCCATTCCCAAGTCTGCGAGTTTTTTTTCCAACTGAACGTGGTGGTGGCAAATTCCGGCGAGACGGGGACAATGGTGATATGTTTGATCAAGATGGAAACCAAAAGAGTGAAGCCGTGGTAAACGAGACGGGATCGTTTTTTTAGTATTTCTTGCTACATCGCTGGTGTTCGTCACTCCTGCAAAGCAGAGACGGGTATTTATAGAAAATCTGTCAACGGAACTGCTCGTCACGCTCGACACGAAGAACGTCAAGCGAGTAACCAACGGTACGATAAAGTGCTGCTGCTTTTTGTAACGGGCTGAACGTTCTCTGAACGAAAGGAGTAGTTTCTGATACGACCGGCACCGGATATATACGACAAAGGCACTTTCATGACCACCTCGTCGACAAACAACGTGAGTCTTTTGCTGGCAAGTTCTTTTCTCTCTCTCTCTTCTCAAGGTCGTCTACTTATCTTCCGACTTTTCGTTCAATCCTGCTAACTTTAGAACTCGCCACCCACTATCCAGAGCGCACATGACACGGGTGCCGTTGGTACTTAGGACAAGCAACCACTTGTCTGAAGCGGCACTTTTTCCACCGAGAAACGTGACGACTACACAAATGACGAGGCCACGACTTGAGAGAGGTCGGTCGGGTCGTTCATCGCACAAGATCAAATTTTGCTTAGGTCAGGCGCCTCGACCAGAAAAGCGGCAGACAGGCAATGCAGAAAGGCTCTGAGACTGTCCCGTTCTCCACTCTACCTCGATGGTACGACGTTCAAGACCTGACCAAGTCAAAGAGTGGTCTGAAATGTCTCGCAACAAACACAAGTCTAGTGTATTACTGCTAGATACGAAGGGCATGTGACGTAGCAACGTGTCTACTGGAAGAATGCAAGAGCGAGCACAATGCCCGTGGCAACAATCGTCATCGGACGAGACGACACAGCGCCACTCGAAGTACTGGGCGAGTCCGACAACTTCGAGCCCTTCTTGGGCTTAGATTCTTTCTTGACTGCACTCTCCTTGGTACAGTGCAGACCTTCCCAGCCTTCCTCGCACTCGCACGACGAGTCCGCACACGTGCCCTTCCCATTGCACGCCTTGTCCGACTTGGCGTCACACTCGGAGCACTGGTCGCCCGTCGTGCCGGCTGCACACTCGCACTCCTTCGTCTCCAAGTTGCACTCTCCTGTAGCACATTGACCCGGGAGCTGGCACTTGTTCGAGTCAATGACGTCGCACGTGTCGCCGCTGTAGCCAACATTGCAGCGACAGTTGTAGACCAGCGAGCCCATTGAGTCGGGCGTGCACGTGCCTTGGCCGGAACACAGCAACGTCGAGTTACTCGTTGCGTTCGTGCTCAAGCAGCTCTCAACAAGAGCAGCAGTCGTGCCCAGCTTGTCGGAAAACTCGGTTGCATCGTCCTCGCCAAAGAGCACCTCGAGCGAGCTCGTGTCAAAGTCCACACAGCCGTAGATCGCGTCAATGGACTCGCCGTCGCTGTCCTTGGCTCCGTCCACGCAAATGACGCCGTCTCCAGACGACGCCTTCTTGCCGCTCACGCACTTGTCCGCGGGCTTGTACGTGCAGACACTGCTGATCTCATTGTACGGACTCGCCCAGGACGAGAACGTCGGACACAAACCCGGGTACTGCCCCGAGCACACGTCCATGTCCTGGACCTTGGGGAGACACTGCTTGACCGTGTCCGTGCCGGAACGCGTCGTCTGCAGAGCGACACACTCGTACCCTTTCGTCTTGCAGTCTTCCGTCTCCTCGCAGATCCCCGGACGCTCCTTGTCCGACTTGGACTTGCCTGCAACCTGCTGGCTCAGAGCCACGATCGCCAAAGCACTTGCAACTGTCCACACCTGCATTGCAACTGGAGACAAGGAGGAGGAAGAAAAAAGAGGATGAAGCAGCGAGCGGCTCACGAAGGTCTTTCGCTCGAAAGGGCCAAAGCGAGAATGCCACCACGTCCGTCTGAAGACTGCAGACAAACAACCGACTGAACGACTTTCGGCTGTCGCGATAAGACGAGACGCGACAGCTGACTCGATTCGTCCGTGGCCGGTGCTCTATAACGACCGACAACCCCAACGACGCTTCGATATCTGCAAAGCGCGACAAGTGCGTAAGGCCAGGCGTTTTAGGGTACTACTGTGCCGCATGCGCACAGCTGGTCAGCAGCAGACGTAACGGACAATCCCTGAGCTCGAATGATGGATGGAAGAGCCAGATGGCAGACGACACGGCTCACGTAAGGTACTGTACCTGCCAAATATTGCGGCGACTTACGAGACAAACAGACGCCTGTCGCTTGGATGCAAACGTGCGGCGACTTGAAGCACGAGATATCGCTATCGGACATGGCAATCGCCTGGTGCTTTTGAGCTGGTGGGACACTTGGATCGTTCAACTTTGTGCCGGCAGAAATGAGGTTCTCGACGATCTCTTCTCCTCCTTCATCTCGATCACGTGCTGCCATGGGATGTACGTCACACGATAGACACGACCGTCGACCGCATGTTCACAAATCCAGTCCAGTAGCGTCTTTGTGAAGTTCAAGCACACGACGGAACTCTGCGACGACACAAAACATAACGAGAACGTTAGCTAGGACGATCATCCGCTCACTCACCCACTCATGCAAAAGCGTCGACACAATATCCATCATTGCCATTGGAGAGGCCTTGCCGCATATTGGTGCACACACACGTACCCAATGTTTCCGGCAAAAGCTCGGAATCTCCGTCACCTGGAAGCTCTGTAGCTTTTGGACACAGAACTCGTCGTCCCGGAACGCCACGACGATTTTTGGCGTGCCAACTAGAAACGATTGGATCCAGAAGGCCAGCAACTTGAAGCGTTCAAAGACAAACTGGTCGTTCTCCCGTTGCAGTAGACGGAACGTTTTGAGCTCAATGTACTCGCGCGTTGAGCTGCTCTTACCACTGCAGCAATCGATCTCTGCCGCAACCACCAAGCGCTTGTCGCCTAGCGTCATGGCCGAGATGCTGCAATATTCCTCGTCCTCATTGACGACGCGCTGTTTGCCATCATTCAGCGTACCAGGCTTTGCGTGAGTCGAGTAAATCTCAAACCGGCGTCCTGCGAACGCCCCGTGCCGTTGATTCTCCTGCTGGTTTCGGATGTTCTCGATATCCTGTGGCGTCTTCTGCACGTTGAAATACACGCACCCGTTGCGTTTTTCAACGTCGAAAGTCCAGCTGCTCTTGCTGTTGTATGGCGTCTACACAAGCGCCATCCTCATTGCAACGACACACATCAGATACGTGAGCTCCACTTCATACAAGGAAGTGCCAACTCACACCCATGATCTTGTTCAGGTTGTTCCGGTACGTGATAACGTGCGGCTGTTTCCAGGTTTTATTGTTGCCCTGAAAGTGTTCAAGGGCCGCTAACAACGGAGCTATCGGAGCAGCTGGTACAGTCGGATCCCTCTCGTCTTTTGAGGTGAAGTCCTGGAATCCATCGAGCAGGTTGGACCCGATCTGCATCACGACCACCAATGGTTGAAAAAAGTGTCACTATAACTTGCTATCACGAAGTCTTGTAGTGCTTACCGCTGCTTTCTTGTACACCGACTAAACAGCACCAAATGGATCATTCAGAACTAAATTTACACGTGTCACAATAAAGAGGTAAATCAGGAATAAAAAAAGAACGCACCAGATTCGACCGGTTGAAATAAACCTTATTGTCTCCATTTTTGCTGAAGTAGGCAATTTCTTGAGGCTGTAAGGTACCACACACAAACGTGTCGGAATGCGATGAAATTTAGATTACCGAGCGACATCTTCTGTGTCTTGTATTCAAACCTTTGACAGCGCCACTCGATCGTGCTGCAAAATCTCATGTGGTCGTAAGACTTTGAAATGACGCGATTCTGCGGAAGTTGGGACAGATAAAGCTGGATAAACATTGGACTGGTCGTAGCGTGACCGCTGCGAGCCGGTGGTGGACTTGGCACCTTGTTGACGTTTTTCAGGCATCATTTGTTTGTGATAGAGTGTAGAAAGAGCTTTGGCCTAAAGTCTTTAAATTTAGATGCTGTATTTCTAAAGATGGGTACAATTCTGATTCTTTCGCTACACTATCATCAATTATGGTATTTTAAAATTGTATTTACCAATGAAAAATTGATGCATTTTGTAAAATGTAGACCTCGCCCTCTGATTGTAGTTTATTTATTTATTGTTTACTCAGCGGCGCGCACAGTCATAAGACGCCCGACAGACGTCCAGCATGACTGACACTCTGTCTACTAACCGACTCAAGACGCCGCATTTAAGCCATGCACGTAGCACTCGCACTTGTTCGTTGGCATATAACATACTTGCGAATACTTGTAAAGGAATTGTCACAAGTAAAATCACGTGAGGAACTCGCGGTCAGAATTATATTTCGCGACTGTCCAATGACTTGTTATCCAGATGAGAAGCTCACGATACATTGTAGTTACTGAAATTGTCATGCACGGAATCCGCACCAACCAGGACCATCATTGATGCAAATATGCTGCGAATCCTCCACTGGGTTTTTCGTCGACATGGTGAAGGTATGGGCTCCTCGGTGGACGTCAGATGCTGCGCAAGTCTACTCTACATCTATTGAATGTAGCACAATGAGGAGCAGTAAGTGTGAATACAATGAAGTTGACATTGCTTACTGAAACTTATCGTGTTCGATTGATTCTTGTCGTTGTTGTTTGACCATCACTACACTAAGCAAACTGGACACAATCTAGGGACGGCTGTACATGCATGGGTAATATACAACCGCTGTACTCGCGGGCTTGTTTATTGTTCGAAGCCGCTCGGCTATTGATGCACGCCTTCAGAATTGGTCCGTTTGTTCATTACTTTGGCGTGGCGCGGGGTACGCCTCCATTTCGTAACCTACCCCTTCTGGGCCGCTTGCGCGACCCGACGGTCCACTGCCCTCACATCCAATACTGCGGGTGCAGCTTGCTCGAGGCAGACCCCAGATCGCTTCGGCTCCCCTATAGGGAGGATTCCCTCCGAAGTGGCCGCCCTCGAAGGGGGAAAAGACTGACTTCAGCTGAATTGTGAAAATTTGGGAATGAAAAAACATACGCTTTGAATCTGTTGTACCCAATCCGATTCTGACGATACCATTCTGATTTTGGTACACCTACCCTGGCTCGAAATTTTATTCGTATTTGCTGTATGGCGATTGCCGGCAGGCAATGAGCTGTAGATGTTCAGTTGAGAGAGCACAGTGATGGAAAATAGTCGACAAGCCTAAACAAAGCGAATATTCTAACGTGGTAACCCTTCTGAGAGCACGCTACACTTGTTCATGCGTACAAATTTATGTCATATAAGTATCACATCTTTAATCAGCAGAAATGGCTACATCAGCATCATGATGATTGCGTTCCCGATGGCAAAATCGATAGAACAAACTGGTCATGAAGTGCCTACAGCACGTTGTAGTACATCATGGTTTGCCAGTGATACCATTATCGAAAACGTCGTCAGCAAACACATCACTTACAATCACGACGGCAACAACGACGACGCCAAAACCATCAACGTAGCCAGCTACTAGGGCGATGAGACTCAATGGAGAATAATGGGCATATTTTGGGAGATTTTTCGATACGATGGAATGTTGCCGTCGTTCATCGGAACAGAAAAGCAAAAAGACGCCTCCTTTAGTGTTATGTGGCATGCATTTGTCCATCTTGAACATTTGCAGTGTGCTCCGCAAAAATAATACCACATCAACAGAGCCAGCTACCATTTTTTAGTTAATAATAAGTGTGTTGAATTGCTGCTCTCTGTGTACCGTCCACGACTCGGCCTTGGTCGCTCAGGACTTTATCATGTTTTGATCGACTAACACAAATTGCCAGTACAATGACCCACTCGCGACCGGTACGTTTTACCTTTCGCTTCGCGTACTTGAATCGATGATGTAGACGAAACAAGTTTTAACCGTTTCTAAAATAAGTTTAGGAACGCAATAAGATGAACAATTAATGTTCGGTACAGCACTTGCTGGCTAAGGCGCGAGAAAGGCCACAGATTGTGCCACAGTCGGCTTGGATCATGCCACAGTCCTCTTGAGACGTGACCATTTGAATGCCTGAATGCAGACACTTGCTTTGTCAATGATGGCAAAGAAAGTCGGGAAAGTAAAGGGAGTTTTTGTCTGTAGGAAAGGCTTGTTCATATCGATAACAAGTTGCACAATGCTCGAGCGCAGAGTAAATTACGTTACCAATGCTTGCAGATCTGCGCGATTCCTTGCAATCTTGTTGTCCTCAATCCCGCTGGTTGTCAGCCAAACGACAAAAACATGCAACGAAGTCTGCGTGCCGTGTGTTGAACGATCATCGATTAATTCCAGCGACTTTCTCAGAAGGTTGGACCCGACACTCACGTCACCAACGGAGGTCGTCGCATCAAGTCCGACCGGTATATTTTGTGGTTGATTAAAGCCAGGGACTTGCTTCGAGCAGTAGTTATGCAGGGATCACTTGTTGAAGGATGCAGAGCAATTGAATCACTAGACAGCAATTTGGCGAATGTTCGGCGACTCACCTTATCGTGTGACACGTGAGAAAGGCACACACTTTTTTCGCTGCTTCTCCACCCCACCCCACACATCACAATTGAGGCACGAGAATGAAAGTGCTGGACGAGAAAACGCGTCGAATCATAACGGCGTCGTATGCTTTACCAGATCTTGAGACGGCAGTGCAGCAAGGTGGAGTGAATGTACAAACAATTTGGCAGTGTCGGGTGTTCACGCGACGATTGGATGGACAGTCATCTACAATGCTATCGATGCTCGTGCGAAGACGATAAAGTTGGTGGTAGATATCATGACTGCATCCTTCACGGCTGTGGATGACGGTAAAGTGCAAAGAGGAGAACGTGCAGCTTACATTGTGGGGCCACTTTGAACCTAACATTGTCTCGTTCAGGCTGTGGAATTCTTCCTGACAGTCTTTACACCCACGTTGGAGAACACCACGGTATGTCATTGTTGTGATTAATGCAAGCTGGCCTTTGTTCTCGACGTAGCGCTCATTAAGCACCACCGTGTAGCATCGGCAAGGTTCTCGGCTTTGGAAAGAGAGGATAGTGAACAGAGTCAACCGAAGCCTTACGGTTCTCGTGGTGCCTTTCTGTACGAGTTAACCTCCCTTGCAACCACCGTTGAGATCGAAAGTCGCGCGCAGGCGCACTGGAGCTCGTACCGCAAAGTCTTTCAGGTTTATAGTCATCTGCTCTGATCCGAGGTTCATGCAGGTTTTCATGCTTGTTTACGCGTGTCACTGAAGGAAGGAAAAGTTGTCTTCAACGCCCGATCAAAAGATCTACGCCAAGCATCAGGAACCAAGGTTTATGTCTCCAATTTATTTGGAAAGCTCCCCGTGCGACGCAAAGACCTCTCTCGCAACATGAAGCATCGAGCCCGAGTGACCAAAGGAATCCAATCCTTCTGCGTAAGCATGTCGATGATATGGCCATCACTATCGTTTGACATCCAATATCAGGGTATGTACAAGAGCATGAAGAAGAGCTACAGAGTTTCTTCGATCAAATGCGAGGGCTTCAAATCTCTGATCGAGGAAGGTTGTCTACACAGGTGGAGATGTTAGGCCAGTGGCAATTCCTGCTGCTGCCTCCTGTCGCGTGCGTTTCTTGGAGCATTTTGGACATCTGCTTGGAGAGCAGCTACAGGTAAGGTTCTCTTGATCATAGTCAAGGCCATCTGATACGACTAACCTTCGTCTAGTACGTGAAATATTCGTCGGAGACTTTCAACTTTTCGATTCGAGGATACTACGCTTTCATTCCTGGTGCATGTGAAGAGTTGGGGCAGGGAGTAAAGCAGGCCAAGAGCTACTACCAGTTTGCGTTCCTGGGAAACGAATGGGAAGCAGAGTGTCATCAAGTGTGCTCACGGACGATCACCGAGGCTGCTCTAGAATTTGCATCGGGTACCTGTTCTTTTCGTTTGGTGACATTCTTTACTTTGCGTCCTAACGATGTGTCTTCCGCTGCATTACAGCCATTCCCATTTTTGTTCTGAAAGTCGACGTGGCTGGTGATCAATACGATGCTTGTGAGATAGGCAAGAAAGAGCGTATTCGCTTCAAAGCTCCTGATCAATTTCGCCAGTTCCTATCCGAGTTTGTCCAGGTACGATGAAGCAACTGCCTGACCGACAATGCTGCAAAACTCACTGTGGATGTCCAGGAAATGGCTGCCACCAAAGCGAAGCAAGACAAGGTGCAAAGATGCGCAAAAGTTTTATGCCTGCGTCGGCTTTGACTCATCGCTGCTGTGTAGATTCACGAATCGGGTCGTTGTGAAGTTCCCTTGCACTCGACAACCGTTAGTGAGCCGGAACACGAGCCACCTGCATTGATACCCAACGATTTTGATGACATCGAGAGTATCTTTCCTGACAACGCCACAACGAGTCACAGTTTTGATCACGATGCGCAAAGCGTTGACTATTCGGAACTCCCCGTATCCTGTACAACTGACGACGCTGCGGCGTGGTCTATCGAGAGCCCCAACAGGTTGTCATGTGGAGCTAGTGACCATATTGAGAATGACAGGTAAGAGCATGTTTTACTGTCCACAGTGCATCTGCAAGCCGCTTATTTTTTTGGGTTGCCACGAGGCAATCGTCCAACCCAATGACCTCAGCTTGTCCTTCAGCAACGAGATGCATTGTTCCACCACAACAACTTATCATGTGCCACAGGCGGCTGAGGCTGGCTTCACATCGATAGATGTTTCTCATGAGTACGCTGTCAGTATGCAAAGCGAGGACGATTTCGAAGGCATTTTCTTTAACCAGGAACCATCGGTGCCGCCAGTCGGGTCTGCTGGAAACGCTATTGGTGTGGAGGTGGGTCGTGCAATGCTAACTTTTGCTTAGTTTTATACGCTCTCTGATGCATTGACACAATGGATGTCCAGGAGACAGGAGTACCAGTGATGCCATGGTTAAGTAGCAAGCCGGATGCACATGATTGCGCAGATCTCCTGTTTGGTTTATGTGAGGACAGCAACTACGACATGAATGGTGAACGCTCTAAAGAAGCGGATCGGAAAGAGCAGCACATTGATAACTCCCCATTTTACTGGGATGAATCACGCGATGACGACGACAAGCGTCCTATACCCCTCACACCAACCGTTGTCAATGCTACGTCTGATTACTTTTCTGTGCAGAAGGTTGAGCGGTCAGCAAATGAGTTCCTGAGACGTCGGTCAGCGCATAGAGCAGATCCCGTCAGGCGTTTCGGTTCAACCTTGTATGCCGACAATGTCCACATCATGGCTGGAGGCAAAACCATTAAGATCACAAAGTTTACCCTCGCGAAGCTACAGGTGATTCGCCAAGTTGACCGCAAATTCATTCTCGTTCGAGCCGCCACTCCTCAAGGCACGTTGCTACTTTGCATCGATCAGCACGCAGCAGATGAACGTGTGCGGTTAGAGAAATTGGAGAGAGACGTTTTTGGTCACGATGGATCTCTTTGTGAGGTGGAGTTGCATGACCATGAACCCCCGCTTGCCCTTCGAGTGAATGCGAAGGAATATGAAACAATGCAATACCACGAAGAGCTAATCAAAGGCTGGGGTTTCGAGTTCGAATGCATGGCGTCAAGACCAGCACCAGCTTTCATTAACGTTTCCGATTCGACCGAGTTTCTCGAAGAGCGTCGTGTGGCGCTGCATGCAACACCGAAGGTAGAGAAACGAGTCTCAAATGCTGAAGATTTTCGAGAATTCATCCAGTTCCTGTCGAACGCCGGAGGAACGTATGTGCATTCGCACGTTCGACCGCCAGTGATCACGAGATTGTTACACTCGCGTGCTTGCCGCAGCGCAATAATGTTCGGCGACCGGCTTAGTATGACGCAATGCCAGGAGCTCATCGAGGAGCTCAAGACGTGTCATCTACCATTTCAGTGTGCACATGGCCGACCATCGGTTGTGCCTCTCGCCGAAATTTGCAATGGCAACTTGCCTTGTGGCTCGTCACCGCCAGCATCGTATCGAATAGAGCGCTGATCTTCGATAACTCACTACTTCGTAATCTCACTTGAATTTTGCTCATCATTAAACCGACTTAAAGCGACGACCATGGCGGTATTGAGCTTACCGAGGTCAACCACCTTCCGGTCTTGTAACGCGTGAGTAAACTGGACGGGGACAGCGGCCAACTTGCTTATCGAACCCGACGTGCAGAGCTTCACGTTGACAGGTATCCGTGACCAAATGATTCAAACTTCGATACGTGTTTCGAACGTACGCCGCAATGCCCTTTTCGTTCATTGACATTCTCAAAATGAGAGCTCCCTTGGCGCCGCACTTGATCAATGCTCTGCTTCCTCAATACTGCAAGATCAAGTTTAACTACAACAACACTAACCGAATCGCTGCTGTAAAGACGCTTCTCATTCCCTTTAATTACCCATCGATCCGTCGTCCTCATTTTTGTGATCCTCATCGCACCACTACACCATGCGTGTAACGGACTACCCCGTTACATGAAATTGACACCAAACGGTGTCAATTGGAATATTGTAGTATGACAATATTCTACCGATATTTTCCGGGATGGGTAATATTGAAGGAACATTATCCCCTTTTGGATAATATTCATTCGCTGCTCCAAGATTGGTTGATAAAAGACATATCAACCCATAGATTAACACCAATCGCTGCTAGACGCGCGCAATGAGTGGTGAGCAGGTTGTCGTCATACGACGACAATGTCTACTAAAGTAAGATGAAGACTGACGTTATATTGATAGCTTAACTAAATTAAACAAAGTTCTCTTTTGACCCTTTACTAAGCTTAGTTGTTATGTAGATTAGCTTCCTCTGCACGTACTAGTGTACGTGAAGTTTCGCGGCACCCCAAACAAAGGGTGCCCCGTTACACCTGGTAGCACTTGGTGGTCCGTCCAACGACTACTAAGTGTCCAACGAACATGAACATGTTGGACGTAGAAGACGACAGCTTTCTCGTCACATGTGAAGGCTACTCCCATCTGAGTGACTCAGAATGGGAGATAGTCTGCCGCACGAGTGTGCTCATGGGATAACCCGCCATCAGTGGCGTGTTGGAGTCTATAAGCAGAGGCCAGCAACAAGCTGCTATCAACAAGTTCCTACAAGGGGAACTTGCTGTCGAACGACAGAAGATAGCCTTGCACAGCAGCAAGGCTCTCATCAGTCGATGGGCGGGCCGACGCACACGGGTCAACCCGAAACCTTCAATATAGACATCTCAAGGTACAAGGGAACCGATATAGATTTCTCTTTAAGATGGTTCGTCGAGTTAGACGACGCCATCAGGGCCCGTCACATCGAGGGTGACGAGATGCAAGTCACCTTCGCCGTCTCAAATTTGACGGGACGAGCAAAGACTTCGGCCTTGGGGCTCAAGCTTAACGACCCAAACGTGTTTGAGTCGTTTAAGATCTTGAAGTCTCGGCTCAAAGAAACATTTGAGCCGCCAAGAGCCAAGTTCAGAGCGCGATCTGCACTCTTGAGGCTAAAGCAAGGTAAGCGTGACGTGCACGCTTACGCACAGCAACTGCGCTACCTTGCAAGTAGCGTTACGGAGAACCCTGTTGATGAGCATACGCTCATCAACGTATCCATCTACGGCCTTGTGGATGGGCCGGTGAAGACCTACATGTTCCGAGAGGACTTCCATACCCTGAAAAGGCTATAGAGTCTGCGGAACAAGAAGACTTCAGCCTGAGACAGTCTCAGGCTAACTCGTCCAACTATCGTCCGACGAGGCGACAGGAAACAGGAGGTCCTGATCCAATGGACCTCTGTTACATCGAGAGCGAGAACTCTCGCTCTCTGAGTCACAAGCGAACGGCAAGATGCCACCGCTGTCAGAAGATTGAATACTACGGTCATGAGTGTAGTGTTCCGAGCACTACAACACGTCCAAAGACAGGACGTAATGACCGCCGTTGGCCAAGGAAGGGTCCGAGACGTGGGTCTTACCATGTCGCCAATCCGCGACAGCAAGTCGGACCGCCAAAAAACGGGCAGGGTCAGTAAGGGCGGAGAACCCTGCTGATCCAGCAACTTCAAGAGAATTTGCAGGACTCTTGACGAAGATTGCTCCCAACACACAGTCTCTGTGTGTTACTGCCCCTAGTGATGAGGTGTCCCTCATCACTTTGAAGATCGAAGTGACAAGTGGAATTTCACTTCGCGCCCTAGTTGACTGTGGGGCGTCGAACAGTTTTATCGACGCCAGTCGCTAGAGGATAGTAGGCTAATCTATGTTGAACGAGAGTTCACTCCAACGAGGATGACGGTGTGCCTTGCTACAGGCGCATCCGTAACAGTGAACAAACGTGTAGTGGGATTTCACTACACGCTATAAGGAAAGCAGTACGATGATAACTTTATCGTATTAGATTTGGATGACAAATTTGATGTCATCCTTGGTCTGCCATGGCTTAGAAAGTACCGGCCATGGGTTAGCTGGCAGCATCGATCCGTGAAGATGCCTGCCGTTTGTTCATCGGATGTCCATCTGATGAACGTCTTGGAGCGTCCGCAAGCGTGTGGATGTACTACGAGTGAGTGCGATGGCCTCACTTGTGGTACGGTCGTTAGTACGATTGAACAAGATCACAGTGTAGAAGTCCACTGCACTGTGGAACCAGCTTCCGGTACCTGTGTAAAGACACAGGCTGCGCCGAAGGTTCACCACTCAAAGAGATCGAGTGGACTGGAACACGGATGCACACCATGAAGGGTGCATCCGAGAAGAGAGAGTAGTGTTGTTCAGGATGGAAAACACGTTGAAGCGAGATAGACTGTCAGAGAGTTGATCGTAGAGCAAGCCCGATCGACTGAAAGAAAGTCGATCGAAGAGGACGTGACTGTGGTAGTACACCCACAGGCAGTACACGTATTGGAAGAAAGTTCCAGCGTTCCTGAGAATGACAACTCCCGATATGGTTATGTTGAGAGTGTGGATCCCCAACCACCTGCGAATGTGTTTTCCCAGGAAACCACCGAGTCAGTGAATGTCTTGGTGAATGACGGATCAAGTGTAGGCGCTTATACACTTGATCTGGTTACAACCCCATAGTCAGCTTCGGATGTAGTCAAGTTGCCAACGCTAGAATCTAAAGATTCTTGCGAGATCTGCGTAGTGACAAGATCAAGCAGATCTGCGTACTCGTCACAGAGGACGAGTACGTCACCGATATTCGGTCGGCACAAGTGTTTGCTGAGAACGAACGGGTTCTCAGTAGCTCATCGATGGACGAGAGTGTCCTCGATGAAAAGACTCGGATTGAGCGATACACGTCTCAATCTTGGGAGTCTTTAAAAAAAATCCTTCGTATAAAGATTTGGTGAATTTCAGGGATGTCTTCCCGGAATCCGTGCCATGCGAGCTGCCCAAGGACAAAGGCACTCGGCATGAGATCGAACTGAAACCTGGTTCGAAATACTGTGTCATGAAGCAGTGGACACTGCCTCGTGAACAGGTAACAGCGATCGACAAAATTCTTTGCCGATCGTTTAGCGGCTGGTCATGTGAGGGAATCAACATCCCCACACAGCCCTCTGACCTTCTGTGTGCGGAAGGCTACAGGATGGTGGCGGATAGTGCACGCGTTCAACAGATTGAATGCTGCAACGGTACCGACTCAAACGCCGATCCCAAGAAAGGATGTCATCATAGATGGTATGGCAAAAAGTACCATCTTTTCATCCATAGATTTGATGGATGGATTCTATCAGATCCTCATGCGTGAACGGGATATCCCTTGCACAGCAGTGAGCACCCCCAGTGGTGTGCTCTGGGAGTGGCTAGTGATGCCACAGGGGCTAAGTAACGCCCCCGCAACGTTTAACAAATATGTTATGAATCTGTTGCGATCGGTGCGCGACTTCGCACCGAGCTACTTCGACGATGTCTTCGTCCATAGCCGGGCTATGGATGGAAGAAGGACGTGGAGGCTCACAGATTCCACTTCCGGGAGGTTCTTACACTTGTGCGAGAGCATAAGTTGTTCGCGAAACTCAAGAAGTGTATCTTCGCAGAGAACGAAATACCACTTCTTGGATGCATCGTGGATAAAAACGGTGTACGCCCTGATCCGGAAAAGATCGAGGCGATTAGCGACTGGCCTGTGCCAGTCGACGTCAAGGACTTCGAAAGTTCCTTGGCTTCGCGGCGTACTTGCACAAGTACTCGCGCAACTATGCCGAGATGACCGCACATCTCTCTCGTCTGCTAAAGAAAAACGAAAGGTGGTCATGGAGTGCTGAGTGTCAGCATTCTTTTGAAGGTATTAAGAAAAGCTTGGTTCAATCGCCTGTGTTGGCGATTGCAGACCAGGACAGACCATTCCATGTGGTCTGTGACGCTAGTGATTTTGCGACCGGCTGCGCGTTAGTGCAGTACGACTCAGACGGCGTTGAGCGCGTCGGCTGTTATCAATCGCGTCAGATGCAAGCGGATGAGCGAAATTATCCGGTTCATGACAAGGAACTCCTTGCCATGAAATGTACACTGGCCAAGTTTCGGGTGTATCTCTTAGGAGATAGGCCCTTCATCGTTTATACCGACCACGCGTCGTTACGCACTGCCGTAAACAGCCCGCAACTCTCTCAACGAATGGCGAGTTGGCTTTCTTTCTTCGCAAAGTACAACTTCTCCGTCGAGTATAAACCAGGACAACTTAATGTCGTCGCTGATGCTCTTTCGCGTCGGCCCGATTTCAAGCCGACTGCTCAACCCAACAGAGGGGGTGATCCCACTGTCGCGACACTATCAGTGAGTGTTCCGTCGTCGAATCTGCTCGACTACGTGCAAAAGCATACGCAGAAGACGAGTCTCTTCTGTAATTGATGGAATATGTATCCAATCCATGCAGTCAAGCTTTAAAAACTTGTCGTCTAAATACCGCTCTTCAAACGAACGGTATTATATCCGTGATGGACTGCTGTACTATACAGCAGTCAACGGCGACACACCTCGTTTCGTCGTTCCCGCTCATAATGATTTGCGA